GTGTTCAGCTTTAAAAAATTTCTCTAAATGTAGATTTCAATATAATTTTTTATTGGTAATCTCTCCAACAACAACTTTTCATTCTCCCCCTTTTCAATATGAATTATATCACAGATATTTTCTGCAAATTTTTTTGCAATTTGACTCCTTAAAAGATAGCAAATTAATATTTTTTTTTATCAAATGTCTGCCATTTTCCTTTTAAAAAAGGACCACCACAGAAAAATAGCTGTTTTGAAGTATTGCTAGACCACAGGTACTTGTGGACAGGATTGAGTTCTATGTGCCTGGGTTGAGGTGTGAATGTAGATACAAACCTTTTGGTTGTGGTGCCTGGGTTGGTAGCTGGGGCTGAGGTGTGGGTCCCCCGGGTACGCCTGGTGTGGGAGGGGAAGCAGGGGTGGGGGCCGCAGTTGGATTGGAGTCACATTGTGGCACTTTACAGCAGGGATTGGAGGGGTCTTTAGTCAGGATGCATCCTGCTGGCAAATTCAGGTATTTTCGGCACCTAGAAATTATAAAGCCATCAGTCTTTTTTTAATGTTATTGATTGGATTGTCTTTGAACTTTATGTGATGTCCAACAACAAACCACAATTTGCATTCATTTCATATTTTTGCAAATAATCAAGATAATCATTATGTTATAAATTAACCAAGATGATCACATATTACATACATGTATCATGACAAAGGAGCAGCATTCTACGTAGTATATATCCAAGAGGTTTTTTTTAAGTAAATTAGAGGGATATTAATCAAAAAATGATGTTCAAATTTTTGCTGATCATTAGATGATACCTTAGTTAGGAATTGTAAACATTAAAACTGGTTTAAAAAATTCAGTTGAAACTGTGTCCATGTCCCTTTAAACATACATCCCAACTTAAACTTAAGTTTATTAGCATTGTCATCAACTTTTTTATCCTGCATATTAAATAATTTACCATATGGTACTGAATTAAATTTTAAGTGGATTTTTCTACATTCACTCCAATGAATAATTTGACCATATTTAAAGTACATTGTACAACTAAATCAAAGGAAATTTTTAAAGTTTTTGTATTGACATTCATTCTCTTATCGTGTAAATTTACTTTCTTGCACTTCATATTTCCTACAATAATAAAGGGTTATTGAACTTACATGTATACTGGTGAATATTGGCACAAGTTGGCTGTACAAATGCACGAGCTTGTGAGAGCATCGGTACATCCAACGAGTGCCACTATTCACCAATATAAGTTTAATACCGTAAATCTGGAAATTTTTACTGTAGATAAATTTTTAGCAAATTTGCGCGTGCATTGAATTCGCAAAAATATTTTTCTTAAAAATAAATCAACATGCGAAGAATTTTTTTCTGAGAACTCGTGTCTTTTTTTAACTCGGTGAATAGGTGTCGGTAAGCACTGGTCATTTTTAAAAGAAACCTGTTTACACTAGTCTACTATAACTACAAGTTAATTACCCGTGCGTAAATTGATGATTTGACAAGCACTGAGGCGGTATGCCCCTTTTTAATTATTTTAATCAATTAATTTGCCAATAAAGAGATAACTGTCATTTTATCTAACCGTGTATCAACACGGGCGATAACTCAAACTACTAGAAAGTTCCAAATGTAAACGCGGCGTGTAAATTTTAGGTGAGAAAAACCAAACGTTGAGAAAATTAGTTATATTTTTTCTTCATTTGGATTATACTTTAGGTTAAAAGGCATACACAACCTCTAAAATATTTGTTATACTTGAGTTAGAAATTATTTTCAGTGCAAATTAATCCTTTTGTATTTTTATCAAAATTGTTTCGGAGCGATTTTGCAATATCTTGCCACGTTGTGAGTATATTGGTGGTATTCTAACTGGGCATATTATTTGAAACATAACCTGATATGAAAATCTTCAGTGATTTTAATTTTTAGCACCAGTGACAATTCGCAAAAATTTGAAGCGTAAAAATTAATCAACAGCTTTTTGACCCAAATTCGCAAAAATAAATCGACGTAAAAATTTCCAGATTTACGGTAACTCTTTTATTATATAGCTAAAACATTTCTTCATAAAATCATTCCAACTAAAAAACTCAATGATTTTTTTAGTATCAGTATTCAAGTTTTAAGTGTTCAATATCGCATTATTCCAACTACCCTACCAAGCACTATGATTTGCTTATTTAGGTTTTAGTGGGACAATAACGTACAAAATTTTTAATAAATGATTTCATTTTTGTGTGAAAATAAGCACATAATACCTAGCTGCCACTTCCTTCTTTAATTTGCCTTTGACCATTTTTTGTTTACAACAGGGCGTAGGATATTGAACATTTGATTCGGCATCTTTCTGACATAATCAAATATGTAATACAAACTCAGTGTTCAATAAAACGCCGAGATATTGAACACTTAAATTTTCTAGATTTTTGGTAGTTTTTTTTTTATTAAAGACTTTCAATTAGCTACATAATAAAAGAAAATATACATGCTTACTTTTCTGTACATTCATATTTGCCCATGGCAGCGTCGACACATTTACAATTGTAATCGCATCCATCTTCCCAGGTCTGATTCTGTATGTACCTCATCCCCTTGTACTCGCAAAAATCTAGAAAAACATCAAACATTTATTCAATTCTTATGTCTTTTTTGAGCACTCAATTTGAAAAAAGGCTAACATATAAACACTATAAAATGCTAAAATACCATAAAAGTAATACATTTATTACTCTAGATTCTTAAATATAAGTGAGGAATTCATTATTGCTTGATTTTGCAAGATACACCAGTTGTGAATTTAAACACCCACTTTTGGTTTTTTTATTGTAAAACTACATGTAAAACTTCTTCATAAACAGTCAGAGATTTAATGTTCTTACAATTTGACATCGCAAGTCATTTTGCTACTGTAGATCACTAAATTTTCGCGACACCTTATTTTCGCGAGATAGTCACTGACTCTTGATTAGCGAGACAAAATTTTCACGAATTGTGGTTATTGCTCTATATAATCTTAAGGAATACTATTATACGCTAGAATTTAATTTTCGCGAGCACACTGTCACGCGTAATTACGCGAGAATAAAGTTCTCGTGAATAAAAAGTGATTTACAGTATATAAGGAATTGACTGTATTTTATACAAATACTACTACATGTGTAAATGACTTACTGAATAGTTTTGGTGCCAGTGTGGGGCCGCCTGGAATTGGAGCTGGGGTGGGGATATTGATGATACCACTTATTACCCCTGGGGCAGCAGTGGGGATCTTGTTGGGGTCAGTGATGTTACACTTTGGAGCCAAACAGCAGGGATCATCTGGATCAGATGCAAGCTTACAACCAGCTGGGATGTTATTATATTTAGGGCACCTGTCATTAAAACAATGTCATGTGTGTTAATGAGAAAATCACATACAGTATACAGTTTGTCAAATCTTTTATATATTACCTATGGAATTAACTAGAACAAGAAACATGAAAAAATAACAGGCTCTGACAAATATAAATTATTTCATTCATAAGAAACTAAATATACTGGAAATAAAGAAAATTTAGGCATGTAGATTACTTTATTTCAGTAAATGTACAATAAGTTATCCCAATTTAAAAATGAAATTCAACATAATTACTTACAGCACAGAAAATCAGAGAAATTCCTTGCAAAAACATTAAATGCTTTTGTATTCCATTGATAAAAAATGCAAAACTATAAATAATTTAGAGTATTTAATAAACTAAGCATAGAGCAACAGTAATATTCTTTTCAATCATAACTGTTCATTATATGAAGATTATTAAACTGAAGAGGAATACCTGTCATTACAGATGTAGAGCCCGCGGGAGGCATCATCACACCTACATCTAAACTGACAGCCATCGTCCCATGTCTGGCCCTGCACATAAGACGCACCGAGGTACACACAATATCCTGTAAATAAATATTGAAACTCAGAATATCCTGTAAATACATGTACAGATAAACTTTGTTATCACGACATCGACAGGACTATTTGAAAATGTCTAGCTATCCGAGGTGTCAAGATATCAGAGTTGAGGCTCGATGTCCTAGATTTTACTGCATAGTAAAAACAGACAGGTGTATTACATTCAAGACTTCAATAAATTCAGTGTTATTCAGCTTCTTTTATCAAAATGTTAAAGTTATGATAGGTTTCGACATAAATAAACACTTTAATATTTACGCAGAATGTTGTAGATTTATCAATAATATTACCCAAGCTGAACATTAAACAATTAACAGATTAACCTCTCAGAAACTCTTAGGGGGTTTGGGATTCCTCTACGAACACAGTTCTCTTGAATCAGTGAGTAGTCAAGACATGGGTGATGATGTACTTCAAAATGAATTGTTCATAATGACAACCTTTTCTTGTATGCTTCAAACTGGCAAAGGTATGTCAATGTTTGATTTTTGTTTGATTAGTCTTATTCTACAGATATAAGTAGATAAGTACAGCATGGATACTATCACAACAATGATGCACAAAGACATCAAAATAAACCTCTTAGACACTTTTTGCTTACTTTGATTTGGTGCCAGTGTGGGGATACTGTCTGGTTTGCTTGTAGGTCCAGTTCCTGCAATGCTGGCAGTGGTAGCAGTGAAGTCACATCGTGGCTTTTTACAGCAAGGATTCGTAAAATCACTGACCAGCTGACAATTAGGGGGCAGGTAAGTGTACTTAGGGCACCTGTTATCAAAATCCCACAAAAGTCAATCTCACAATTAGGAAAGGAATTCATTATGTGGAGAATTTAAAGACAAAAAAATTTTGTAAAAGAAAATTTTAACATCTCTTCATTACTTTGTACAAATAAACCGTAATGTTGGGTTTAGAAAAAAAAATATTTTGTCCTTGAACATGAATTTTAACAATTTCCACCCTTATATGGTGGATTTATCAGCTATCTCTGCAATATTTCTTTTTGCTTACTTGTCTGTGCACTGGTATAGACCCTGCATGGCATCTGTACACACACAGTTCAGATCACAACCATCTTCCCATCTCTGGTCCTGGGAGTACAGTACTCCCTTATACACACACTTTCCTACCAATAAAAAAAATACTACATGAGGCAATGAACATTTTTACAATATACTTAATCAATTTTCATGAACAGAAAGGAGATGGGTGAACATGATGAGCAATAAGCCTATAGCGCAACAAACATGAAGGTGAAGAATTTAGATTTCAATTATATCAAAATTTTCCTTAATATATTTTATCTAACATTAAAGTTTACCCTATGTAAAATCTCTACAAAATGCACAAATCTCATGAAGAATGAAGTTATTTGCCTCTGAAAAATTAAACACACACGAAAGATGGCAAAACGAGTCCTTTTTTCACAATATAACACTATTTTTCGATATGAGTGGGTCTTCACTCCACTTGAAAGCTAATCCTCAAAGTCTGCATTCAAATATACATATTTTGGTTTCCAAAATTGTGGAGCAAAGATCCAATATACCTTTTATAAAAAAATATAATTTTATGACATAATTTTTGTATCTTTTTGAGAAATACTTGAAGTTCAATAGTTCAAACATGATTTAAATGCCACTCTTCATCAGGACTGGTAGCTTAGTGGTTAGAGTGCTAGTCTCCATAGAGAATGCTACTTGGGATTTTTATTGCTAGGGTTTGAATCCAATGGGTACCACATTATTTTTCTATTTATAAAAGAATAAATTTTACCATAAAATTTTCGTCAGAAATTTTTGTTTATCATGATTTCATAAATATCAATAATAAGAACTTTACTCTGAATACTCAATTCATAATTTGAATATGACTATTATATTTCTGAAGCTAGTGGGTTTTGTGCACTCTAAGTTCGCCCATGTTCTTAAGGATGGTGTCATATATTTCATACTCATTGTCAACATCATCAAAATTTTAGATCACAATTTAGATAACATTTTTACTAGCATGCATTGGTGCTTACCATTATTTCCATCCACACCTGAGTAGATACCAGAAGGTGCGGGTGTTGGCACCTGATTGGTGGAGGTGTTGTTCTGGGGACACTGGGGAATCTGACAACAGGTGGGGTCATCTGGGTCAGGGACAAAGGTACAGGAGGGGGCGATATTGGGATAGGTGGGGCATCTGAATTTGAACAAAAATACAAGTATGTATAAATTATAGATCAGGGCAATATTGGAATATGTCAGGCATCTGAATAGTTACCTAAACAAGAATAGGTGGGTGCATTTTTTGGAAAAAGTAATAGGGATCTGAACTGTGAATAAATCAAAGTACTCAGAAGTACTGAAAGCCGGGCTCATTTACAGAGTAATGAACAAAGACCGTGGTGACAGTTTAAAATCAAGTTCAGATGTTTAGAGAATATGTTATACACAAAAATATCTCAATGGCATGTATAGTATTAAAAAGTTTTAAAAATTAAATAAAATATAGCTAGAAATTAACAGCATAAAATATTTATCACATGTATCATTTCGGGGTTTTATATACAAACAGAAGTAAATAAACACCCATGCAGCAAGATTAATTAAGGTCAAACGATTATGCACTGATGTGTCCTCAGCGGGGAGTTTTGTATCAAGTGATTAATGATGTTCCCTGCATTTGCATTAGCCTGATAGTACAACCTTTATTTATAGAAAATGACGCAGACAGGGATACCTGATGAAAACCTTTCGCACCTTTTGACTTGCTTTGTAAAATAGCCAGGAGCCAGGAAAAATATTAAACAATTCAATATTTTGATAAAAACATTCGATTTACTATTTCTTAAGCCAGTTAAGGTGTTTGAATGGATTTTGTTTTCTCAACAGCGGCTGGGCGTACATACTATATTTTTACTCGTAAACTCAATTTGGCGGTGAAGAAGCAGCATTTCCTGTTGCTCACCGTCGCAATAGCCGGGCATTGCTCGTACATTAGGTTAAAGGAATGAGGCCTTATGGGGAGCAATGTAAAAATGGTTATAATGAAGGGTTGAAAGATTAGTGACTGGAGTCTTTGACAATCAAAGAGTATTTAACAGTGCTCTTTATCAGAGATGATACAAATGGCAACTTAAATGATTATCAGATATTCATCACTTTTATCAGTGTTTTTTAAATCATCAGTTTTCACTTTTACAGTACTTAAAAACATTTTGAACCTTTCCTGTTTCAAACTTATAACATTTTTCTCTTCAGAAATGAAATTTAAATTTCAAAAAAAATTCCACTGATCAGCACAGGGAAACTCAAATATAGGAAATTGTTATTGACATCAGAGATTCATGCTTCTTTGTAGTTATTTTTAAAATTAATATTTCATAGCAATTGGGAAAAAATTATATATTCAAAGTATAATTTTTGCAAATGATTTTCTGTTTTCGTGAGACAAAAGAGAATGTCCCTGCTCTACATTACCTTTCAATGCATCTGTATTTTCCATTCAGTGCATCTTCACAGGTACACTTGTAGCTACAACCATCGTACCATGACTGGCCTTGTTGGTAGTGTCTTCCATTGTATTCACAATAATCTGCAAATCAGAATTATAGTCAATACAATAAAACCTCACCAGCATTCATTCCTTACTGTAAATTCACATATTTTCGAGGGGTCAAATATATGGTTCCTTGGGATTTAAGAATTGTTCAGTAGTAATAAATGTGAAAAATTGCATTTCATGGTGGACGTAAATTTGTGGGTCTCTTCATACCTTGAAAACCACAAAAATTTAAAATCCCACAAAAATTAGTGATTTTTACAGTCTATCTATTTCAAATTAATAATGATTGTAAATGCTGAAATTTACACATTGAAAATTCATTTATTAGAGTCATTTGTATTAAAACACCTAGTACAATTCAAATGAAAATAATCTAAAAAGGGTTGACACATGTTATTTTTTTCGATTGATAAGGTGGTTAAACATATAAAGTTTTCAGAGTTACACTTCATTGACAAAACTACCAAATATTTTGTTGAAAATAAATGTGTTAGAAAGTGTACCTGTTTTAGGGATTGGGGTGGTGATTTGGTCGAGCTTGGTGATGTAGTTGACTGGGAACACACACTTGGGGCGCTGGCAGCATGGGTTATCAGGATCGTTCTCCAAGAAGCAGTAGGGCTGGGGTAGATTATCATACCTCACACATCTGAATTATTTACAAAAATTATGTAAAATCTTTGTACAAATTCAAAAGCAAATTGAAATTTTTGTCTAGTAGATACCGTTAGTAATGCAGTTTTGGCTTACTTCTATTATAAATTTAATACAATATCAAAAGTGTGCCTCTTTTTACTTTTCATAGCATCTGTATTTTCCAACTCTGGAGTCTTCACATACACAGGTGAATGCACATCCATCATCCCATCTCTGAGACTGTGTGTAGTGTTTCCCTTTGTACACACAGTAGCCTGCATAGAAAAGATTAATGCTTTAAGGTCCAGTTAAAAAATCTGCTCAGAAGCTCAAGGTTAAAGCTCCCTACGTCTCAAACTTAAGTATATAAACTCCAAATTCAACCTACTGTATACAGGGTTATTTTTACCCCGCTTTATTTTCACTCTTTCACACTTGAAAATAATTTTGCCCTGTTTTAAATACACCCAGTCCCAGTTTTGTTTAAGAAGTTATACTGCATTTTTTGAATTTGCCTCTTTTTTTAAATTCGCCCATGTAAGGTCAAGGCGAAAGGGGTGAAAATTTCCCCGTATACAGTATTTCCTTCTGATGAATTGTGTGATGAGCTTGCCTATTCCTCCTGTAATGTTGGACTTGGGTGTGGGTGGTACGGGTGTGAAGCCAGTCTGGAACAGTGCCACTGTGGCTGTGTACTCTGTGTTGTTTAACAGGTCGGAGCTTGTGGGGGGTTCCACCACACCTTTACCTGTCACGGCGGGGGCGAAGGCTGGAATAGGTACGTACGTCTGGCCGGTGATAGGATCGTACCGACAGACAGGCTTACGACAACAGGGGTCGTTAGGGTCAGCCTCCATGTGGCAAGAATTGGGAATCTGGGCATAAGATGGACACCTAGAAAAAGAACAAATCTTAGCATTTCAAATAATTCTTATTTAAAATAAAGAGTAACATTAAGACACACTTCAAATCATTTCTATAAGCCCAATAGATATTTAATGCAAACATTTCTATCCTACAAAAACTTACTACACTTAATAATACATATACAGACAATACATATATAGAATTCCAACCAACATGTACTTCTGTCTACATGTGCTTGCTTCCGCTTTTCATCAGTATACAAATGATGAAGTGTAACTTACTTTTGTCTACATGTGTATGCCCCTGTTTTTTCATCAGTACAGATACAAGAGAACTGACACCCATCTTCCCAAGTTTGATCCTTCACATAAAGTTTTCCTTTGTACAAACAGCCATCTGAAACACAATCATATCATGTACTCCTTACATCTTCATCCAACAGAAACTTGCATGCGATGAAAAGATATTTATAGAAAATTACAAATATTTCATTCTTAAATTCTTGATCAATATGACACTAGTTGAATAAAATAAATCCATGGACTGAATTTTGCTTCCAATCATAATCCTCATTTCTGTCAAATGACAGACAGAAAGACAAAAGTTGGATTTTTTTTGGCTCTGATCGAAAGAATCACATGAAATCTCTCGTCAATAAAATCATACACTGTTAACACCACTGGAATGTTAGACTTAAAGACTATTAGATTTAATGACATACTGAGAGTTGGGGCCTTATTTCCAGTGCCTCCTGAGCCGGGGGCAGGGGTCCCTCCTGTGGGCATGGTTGGCGTGACAAACTGGCTTCCTCCATCGGGATTTTTGATATAAATTCCACCTCCATTGGCTAGAGAGTTGAGGTTTGTTGTAGAGCTGACGAATGTCCCACTGTCACACTCCACAACCTTACAACACTCAGCTGTCTTCCTCCTGAGGTAACATCCTGGGGGTAAATTGTTGTATGTCGGGCAGCTGAAAAAAAAATGAATGCATGAATAAATAAATCAAAGCAAAGCCAAGTACAGAACAGTCTGGTTCTGAAAGCCATTCCATCTCATTGAATACTCTTTACAATATCTTTGATTTATGTTTGTATATATTTTTTCTTGATTCTCTGAGGACTTACTTGCTGACACATCTATAATATCCATACAAAGCATTTTCACAGGTACATTTAGAGTCACAGCCCACATTCCAGACTGCTCCTTGTTTGTAAGTTGTTCCCTCGTACACACATACATCTACAAAGGGACAGTTTTTTAAAACTATAAATTTCTTCCTTTTTTTATTTAGATATAGTTATGCGAGATCCAAGCTCTGTGTTGATATGATATACAAATACATGTAAATCTGAAAGGAAGCATGTCAGATAATGTATAATGAATCTTTTACAAGTAGGTTTAATTCAAAACACTTACCGTTAGGGCCACCAGTTGGTGATGTGTTTGCTGCAAAATAAATCACAAAAAGTTATAAAGTCTATCTTTAATTTAAAATTTAATTTTTTCATCTCTCGGTGACACAAACTTTGAATTTACCCTAAGCATTGTCAATAAGAGTAATCTAACAGACTTCATGGTTTAAGACTAGGATACGTACAACAGAAGCCACAGTATTTGGCGCAGTTGTCTCCAGCCCAGTCCTTGTAATCTACACACACTTGTTTCCCATAATTCTCACACACATTCAAACGATCAACACAGGGTTTGGGTGTGGATGGGGCAGCGCCTGAAAATCATACCATAAACTGAAATCTCAGATTATTGTGACTATAGTCTATAGATGTACTAAAGCATTTTGTTCAATCAGTAGACATCTTCCATGCAAATATTGTTTTAAGGTAATCATTTCCTTACTAGGTATCCATTTATGACAATTTTCTTACTACTTCACTCATTCTATGAGTAATCTAAAATGCTTAAGGCCCCTTACTAAGTTTGAATCACAATATTGTCCTATTAACAGTTAGTGTTAACTTTTTCTAATCATTCCTTCACTTACCTACTCCCTTTCCGCTGGTGGAACCAGTTCCTGAGAAGGAGCCATGTTGCTGGCTGAATTCACACACTGGTTTCTCACAGCACTCTCCAGGTTCCTTCTTCAGAGTACAGTAAGATGGAACAGAAGTGAAGGTGGGACAACTAGATAATAGTTAATATTTGGAGAAATATGCATCATGTGTGTACTACATGCAAGATATCTGTATTCTTTATTGGTACAGTTGTCATTGTGAACTTTTTTTTATTGCAGACATCAATTTAATTTTTTTAACCCTCTTTTTTTCTAAATATTTTCTTCTTTTGATTTGAAAAAGAACATGTCTTACATTGTTTCACATTTGTACAGGCCCTGAGTGGAGTTAGTGCATGTGCACTGCTTATCACAGCTATCTCTCCACGTCTGTCCTTGGAAGTACTGCTTGTTTTTGTAGACACAGACATCTAATTGGAAACAAAAAAAAATATCAGCTGTCTGCAAACTTCCAATATGCTTTGAATAAAATATCCAAAATTAAATGACGAGCAGAAAGGTTTATCAATATTACTAATTTTAACTAGAATGTTTTATTTTTTTACTTATTCCACTAGAAGTTGTTCCTTTTCCACTGCTTTCTGTTGTAACAATCTTCTGATGAAAGTTGCACACAGGTTTTAGACAGCACTCTCCTGTCTGTCTCACCAATGTACAGTCTGCAGGCAGATTGTAGTATACCGGGCACCTGCAGCATTAAAAGTCTTCATTTAATTATAACAATCTGAACAAATAATGCATTATACTGCAAACAAGTTCATTAAGGTAGCAATGGAAATTTTTTGGTAAAATAACTTAAAATACTTTATCAAATTTAAATGTTTCACATCTTGTCCTCTAAAGGGACCAATTCCAAAATGAAAAATCGCCTGACAACTTTGTTCATGCCCTTTAAATTTTCTCCCTGAATTTTAACTGTTTAATATGTTGAACACCCCTGATTCTTGCAAAAATTCTTTTTATTTGAATCATGTCTTTTAACTGTCCCTCTGTGAAATTGAAATTTGACTTTTTTTAACTAACTGCAGCGGAGTTCACCTGTTAAAACATCTGTATTTTCCTGTTTGTCCATCTTCGCAAACACATTCATAGTCACAGCCGTCTCTCCAGTTCTGTCCGGTCTGGTATGTTTTTCCTTTGTAAGAGCAGCTCCCGTCTATTGAATATAGGGGAAATAAGCATATAAACAATTCTAATTAGACATTCCAAATGGGGTAACTTAAAATTTAATTTACATGGACTAGTTTTGCATGTTTCAGACTTGAAAGATGGCGCGAATCATGAACTTCCGGTATACTCTAATACTCAGAACCAAATGCTTTAAACTTACAAAATCCGTTTGCGGTCGTACTTGGACCTGGAAGATAAAAAAATAAATTTTGATTGAAAGTTTTTTCTCCATGTGAGAGCAATATTCCATTGGAGATAAAAATATATTTGTAAATAATACACATATATATTAATATAAACTTCTTACCGCAAAATCCGCAAAATTGTTTACAGTTATCACGTGCCCAATCGGCATACTTCGTGCAAACACCTTGTCCATAGGCCGCGCAGTTTTGTAATTTGTCACTGCATGACACTTGCTGGGCTGTAAAATAACAATATGTATTAAATAAGAATCAATGCTAGATACAGCTGTACACTGTCAGTCCCATCGGCTTGAAAACTGTACTCACGTTGGCAGACTCCGCAGAAAAGAGCACAGTTATCCCTGGCCCAGGGTTTATAGTTCGTGCACACTTGTTGTCCGTACTGCCTACAGTTGTTCACTTTGTCTTTACAAGCGTCGGGAGAAGGAGTTGCACCCGGTGCCGAGGTTGTCATTGGAGGAATTGTAGCGTGTACTAAAACAATTCATCAGAATACCTGACTCAATATGATATAATAATTTTTATTCTACAAGGTAAATTTAGATCGCGGGCCAAAATTTTAATTTATATCTTCATCGTTCATTTAAGCAATTACTCATCCATTTCGTCTACCAGGTAATGGTTTTGCATGACTTATTATTGTTTCCTCTTAGACCATTCGAACACGTTCATTTTTTATTTAAATCAAAACATGTAACATACTTTGACAAGCCTTCTGCAGGACTTGATCAATGATTGTGTCTATGTTGTTCACGTCGCTGACAGTGATGACCTTGTCTGAAGACCCTGCAATATGGTTTAGTTGATAGGTTTGTAAGTTAGGACCAGCGCCTACGGCAACTAGGCCTATGTTTTGTTGCCTGGCTCTATCAGCGGCACTTGTTGTGTCGGCGTCACTGTTAGAGTTACCATCTGTCAGGACTATGGCGATCCGCGGGACGTTGCCTCGAGCACCGCTGTTCTGCCCAAACATCTTATCTGTCATGTATTGGAGGGCGCCACCGGCGTCACTGCCACCACCCATATAATTCATGTTTTCCACTGCTTTAAGGGCATCTCCCCTGTTGTTGTACATGGTTAAAGGGAACGTTATAGAGGGATAGCTTCCATATTGCATGAGACCAACATGAACCTTATCTGCGCCCACATCCAATCGTGATATTGCGCCTTTCAGGAATGTTTCAAGCTTCTGGAAATTAGCAGCACCGATGCTAGAGGATGAATCAACCAAGAAGGCAAGATCAGCCTTTTGCAAACAACCTTAAAAAGAAACAGATTCAAAACATGTCACTATAAAGAAACTCTGCCTATCAAGTTACCCACACGAAACATTCACTTTGATGTTAATAATGAATTAGATTTTGCTGCATAATTTAGCCTTACTGTTTGGTGGAGGGAGCTGGTTTGAGTTTGGTGGCAGCTCTATAAAAAGAAGGTTTAAAAATTAAGTCACATTCTGAAACAAAATACCGTATATATCAAAGCAAAACGGGTTTTAAATTGTTATGAACATTTACCGTTACAGATTTTGGTTGACAGAGCACTTGAAAGGGTATTCAAAGATCCATAACTGTCAGCCTTCAGAATGTATCTGGAATCTGGGTCACTGGAGATTGAGGTCAATTCCTGCATATTCACACCTGACCCTACCCCCACACCGTACAGAATCACATTGTTGTCTTTGGCGGTCTGTGCCTGTACTTTGGTAATATCGGGTGTAGTTGACCCTCCATCGGTGACAAGTACTGCAATGTGTGGAACACCACCCCTGGCGCCATGGATGGGGTTGAATGTCGTCTGCTTGACGTATCGTATTGCGTCAGCAGTATGTGTTCTCCCTCCTCGAAACTGTATTCCAGAAATGGCATTGATAATGTCCGATTTCGTGGAATATTGATTTAGGAAGAACTGATTGTAGACGCCATTGCTAAACGTCACCACACTCACTTGAGTCTTGTCTGGTGCTATTTGTAAATTGTTCACTGTGCTTTTAATAAATTCTAATTGTTTCTTGAAGTTATCTGGTCCTACTGTATCAGAAGAGTCTAATAAAAATGTAACGTCTGCTTGTGTGTCACATCCTAGAAAAACAGAAGCACATTGTATTACAAAGATAGGGAAATATAAACATAGTATTCATTTTGCGAGAATACTAGTAACCACTAGCCAAATAGTACTGAGCACTGCCTTTCATTTCTATGTTCTTGATTACTGTGTAAACATGCTTCAACAAATTCCACTCGCCAATTCATGTAATTGCACAAGAACAAGATCAAACTGATTTGCAAATCTTGTTCTTGATGTTAGTAGCCATCTCGCGATATTATAGGCGTGAGTACTTTGTTAAAAAAAGGTATCTACGGTGGTTTGTGATTTCTATATAATTGTTGGATTGAACGTAACAGTTTTGGTGCATGTTTGATAGAATCCCATATTTGAAGATCAAAATGATTCATGCATTTACAGGGTTCCCAGAATATATACAGTTTCGTGATTATGTAAAAAAAAAAATGTAATGAATATTGAAGAACAACAAATGAGTTCACATTGAAAAAAGATATCAGTCGTTTTAACTGATATCCTCTAAATCACGTCCAATCCACAGGTGGTTGAGGACAGGACCCCCCACCCCTTCGATATAGACCCCTGGACTTTTTGACTTTTTACTCATAAATAATCTTTCATAGCCATATTTGTGATAAGATCTATACCAACAAATCGAAAATTACCTAAAACAAACGTTCGATAAAATCCATCCTACATTCTAGATATAATAATCATATAGAGAGAGAGTGGGGTAGAATTTTTTTATAAAATGTTAGTTTAAGCAAATTTTCTGAATTGATAGGATAGATTATATCACAAATGTGTCATCCATATATAATTTATGTGAAAAAAAGTCTAACAGTCCCGGGGGTCTATTTTTTTTTTTGGGGGGGGGGGGGGTCCTGTCCGCAAGCACCTGTGGTCCAATCTGGGTATTGATCATGTTTAGACATTGCACAAAATTCTATAACTTAAGACGACGGTGCATTGTTCTCTAGTAATAATCTGGATTTTTATCGGAAATATACCTTATATAGATAAGTTAAAGATTTAGGTTTAGGTTTAGTATCAATGTCTCAAGACTGAATTTGATAATTACAGTTTTGAAACGAGGGAACCTAGCATGTTTCCTATAAATCAATTTTGCTTGAAATGCAATTTTTAGCAATTGTTTAACGTAATTTTTGTGGCTGCATTATTCCAAATATGTGAGAATTTTTAACTGAAATGTTTTGTTGCCAAAATTGTATTTATTCAAATATTAAACGATACAAATATCAAAGAGATTGGTCAAGACATGCGTTTTTGACGATGGTATCATAATATTATAGGACACCTTGTATAACAAACTCTGATAATCTGGACGCTTCACTTTCCAGACAAAATTAAATCAACTTGCTTGTATATAAACCTTCCATACATTCCTGTAATAAATCGGTACACAATACTCAAAGTCTGTTAAATTAGATTGATTAAAACTGCTTCAAGATAGCAGAAAGTACATGTAGAAGGATTTTGCAGTACATTCCATCAGCTTCCGAGATGCATACTAAACTGAAATCAGTTTAAGTGATAGTTGCGCAATCTTTGCACGTTTTCGAAAATGAAGAAACATTTCCTTTTCATTAATGACTAAAGCAGATGGACATGTCATATCTCCTAACCTGGCTTTCTATTCTGTAGTCACTCCCCTCTATTCAACAGATGAATAGGTTCCCAATGTCAATGATAAGGTCGAAAAGCTTAGGGATATTCTATTCTTACATCATAACAGACATTAATTGTAACATTACTTTCCTTTTCAAAATTTTACCTAGAATTCCAACTTTTTTAAAATAGTAAAAGTATAGGTAAGAATAAAGCCGAAGAACTGTATCGTTATGTTTTTTTTTTAGTGATTCAAGTGATTGTCCATAACACTACAGATCCGGTAATAGGATCTGTAATGCAAGATTCTCTGCGCACTATTGGGATGAATTTCTTCTCTTTCCAACAACTTACTTATGAATTTCTTAAGTGGGGGTAAACAAAATTTATAAAGTTTGTATATAAAGTATTAATTGAATCCCATCCTGTAAATTCAAAAATTAGGTGCCCAAGAGGAGTAAGCATCCCCTGTGGTCTAGTCACACCCTCCATGAGCTCTATATTGTCAGGGTTGACGCTGCAGTTAAAATTTAGTATAAACAAAGACCTAACAATTGGTTTGAAATATGTCAGTCAACATACAACCAACGTTAGCAGAATATTACAGTACCGATACTACATGCCTGCAGCAGAGCTAAATTAAGGGAGTAATAATGACACAATTTAGGTGATAGGTTTGACTTATGATTCTACATGTAAATTATAAAAAAAAAAATATTTTTAAAATTCAGAATTCGTTAAAAGATGCATCCAGTATCAATGATATCTGAATAAATGGTGTATTGCAATTCATTTCCTCTGTGTTAGGTATGAAAGAAATAAATGGTCACATCGCAAATTAACCATGATTCGGATCATAAGTGTGAAACTATACTTGTTAAAAACAGGTACTTGTTTCTAAAATAATTTTTTAACCTATAGTATACGCACCAGTAATAAGAACACGTGTGTTATTATTATACTATGGGTTGAAAAATTAATTCCGAAACAAGTGCCTGTGTTGTAGAACCATAAGTTCACCAAAAAAATTCATTTTCAAGTCTGTCTGAGTCTTAGCGAATTATGACCGCTGAACAATAAGAATTCTTTTACATGTAACAGGGATACTTGATTTGACACTCAGATTTTATACAAGAAGTGCATATGGTTCGTGACGATTATATCTCGGCGTGTTGATAGTACAACCATACTTAATTACATGCTTTTATATTTTCATTGTTTCTATTAGGTGCTTATACTATTTTTTAGGCAACGATATACTATACTGTGGAATTCATTTAAATTCTTGGGGGTCAACGTTCGTGGGTAAGCAAAATTTTTGTTGGTCCGTGGGAGACGTTATTTCGTAGGTAACTCGTATATACGGAATTATCATATTTATAATTTATTACTAGGTAATATTTTAACAACAAAATTGCTCATGGGGATGTAAATTCCTGGGTTAGGATAGACTCAAGAATATTTTGTTCCCCGCGAACAATGACTCCACATAAACCTAAAAAAGTACACGTGCATTACACGTGACCTTGAACTTTTCGTAGATATTTATAATCTTTGAGCTCTGGGACGACCGACCTATCACGTGAAATTAATAGGTCTACCATCCTTACATTTCCAAGTTATCAACAAGACAATATTATCTTTTTCATGTATGTATATACTTATTAGTATGTGATTAGGATATATTCAGTAATATTATAGAATTTTTATTGTTGTACAAGATTTACGCTTCCATTTCTTCAAATAGAGTTTAATTTTAAAATATTGAGATATTTTTAAATTTTTTTTTATTCTGTAAAGTTTTAATTTGTATTTTTTTTATTTGTCTTCTGTAGTTGGCATCTAAGTGACAATAAATATTTAACTGAAAGTCTGAAACAAAGTAAAGTTATACTTATTTAAGGAATAGCAACATAGCGTATTTATTTTAAGTTTCTAAATAAAGCCCTCATCATTGACTAGACGATATTAGTTACTAGTTAGTACTTCGATTTTTATCTGTGATGTCCGTGATGCGACGAATCAGAAAAGGAAGACATGTTCTTGCTTATTTGCAACGTTTACTATAAAACTAAAATTTTATACAGTAACCAAAGGACATTGCACATGTCCATGTGGGTATTTTTATTCATTAATAAACTTGTAACCATTTTTTGGGGAGGGTGCTGTATAATTCTAACATCATTTTTTTATTTTTTTCAAAATTCAAGTATTAGTAATTAATGACTGATGCAGTAAATTTACGTAACATGTGCCAAAATCCAATTTGAGTCACTATACAAGCACGTAGCAACAGGGGGGCCAGGGACGGGGGGAGCTGGCCCCCATTTTTTCCCCCCCCAACATTACTTAAACTATAGCGAATGTTCATTGAGAGGCTGGTTGGACCCCCAACTTTTAGTGATATAAGAAAAATGTATTATTGTCGTTAAAATAAAGGTACTGAAATGAATTGGCATTGAAAAAAGTTGGCTCCTAACCCCCCCCCCCCCTTCCCACAAAATAGGTTTTTCGACTTTTTTATTGTTTTTGCTTGTCAACTTTTTCAGGTAAGTAAAAAAAAAATTCTCTGGCTCCCCCCTTTCAAAAACGATACTACGTGGCTACTATATGATAAATTCTAAAAGCAAATATATTTTAATGTCTATTAACTAAAATTTTGAAACTAGTAGGTATTATTTCATAAGGAAAATATTTACAAAAAGATGACGTTTTATTTATTTCTTTCCAATTTTCAAACTAAATGAACATGACTTTTGGTTCCTTTTCTAAATGCCTTACGTGCTCGCCTACTTTCCACCAAACGCATTAGATTTGGAGAGAAAATAATTTAAGCTGGCAGACTCGAGAATAATTAAGTCTCTGAAAAGTTAATATTTCCATTCTTTTTCGGTCAAAAATTTGAATTAATTTAAGGAATTAAATCACTACACCAAAGCACTGTTGATCAAATTATCCATATTCCAGTCATCTTTTATCACAAACGTTTGTATCTCCATCAGTTCAAAGTTCAAGTGTTAAAGGTCACACCTACCTCCGGATGCCCTTTTCGAAAATGTCACCGCCTTACTGGCGGTAACGAAAAACAGAAGAACCGCGACGTGTCGCATAATCCTTCTGGCGAAATTAGGAAGAAATTCCTAACTATCTCTTATATATCAACTCTCCCACGAAATCACGTGCTCAAAGAGGTTCCTCAATGGAACAGTTACGAAAGATAAGGAAAAATCTATAGTAAACCAGAAAGGGGACCAATGAAGGAGACAGGCTTTAATATCTTCAGTAACACGAGCGTTTCCAAGGCATAGTTATAAACTTTTAGTTACTTGAGACCTCTATAGTTGAAAGCACCATTGCTGAATTGAACTGTTTTTCTGTTTCTTTTTAATATTGCCTATCATAACAATACACCCTTTAGACAGTTCAGTTATTCTTTGAATAGTAAACACACCTTTCATCCACAGGTACGAAAATTGTCGACTTTATCATATTTGAAGAACGTTTCCGCAATCAAATTACGCTTCTATATCAAAGTGTATATGGAATTACGCATTTGTTATTTTTCAATTGTTAACCCTAGAATATTTATACTGATCATCCATATTCTTTTTAGACTTCAAAACACTTCACACGAATTACTTGTTGAGGTAAATCCATTTTTGCACAAGTATTTGAGAGCACGGGCACCAAACTCGCTTGAAAATACTAGGGGGTCAAAAATTCAAGCGAGTTTTGTGCCTGTGTTTGAGAGGTTACAACACACTTTTGACCACTATCTACCACACTCAATACTAGTAAATGTTAAGAAAAATATTACAATCATATATTTTATTTTATTTTATTACTTTCCTGCGACAAGGATGCCCACTTTCTGCGTCTCTACTTACGATTTCATATTGAAGAGTAAGCAATTAGAAGTGCCTCCTCGAAACCTATGTCAATATACTATTTTAAATGCAGTCAAACATTGTGAACATTGTAATAAGTCAGTCCACTGCTTTTGTTGCTTATGAAATGATTATTAAACAAACTTATGAAACTCATGGACACCACTCCCTACGCAACAGAAAAGAGAGTACTTAGGGTAAATTGAGTAAAAATTTACAGTTTCTTGATTATATATTTTGGGTTGAAAGAATCTTTATCCTTATGTGTCCTATGTGCGGTTGGAGCTTGAAAAAACTAGAAAAAATAAGCGGAAATGAATAAATTACATAAACTGGCAGCGGACAACCAATTATGAGAAGGTTGTCAGATCAGGTATTCGATATAAAAGTTTCGAACATCCCCAAGTGTCTGTGAAGTTGAATTTTGCTACAAATGATGCAGTAAAAATTTGCACATGCTTAACAATGTGAGTTTGAACTAAATGAATTGTAAAATAGTTTGCAAAAAAGTAAAGCATTCTAGAATTTAGAGCGATAGAATTCTATCCTTTACTTCTACAGCTGCAAGTTTCATCTGAAATAAAATTGAATAGAATGTGTGTGATTTTATAAAGGGCATTGCGTCCGAATTTTGACGCTTAAAAGTACTCATGAAAAATGTGCTTATATATACCCGTACTAAGTATTTATAGAATGAATGATTTTTCTATGAATTGAAAGTTGAAATATACGTATCAATGAAAAAAAGCATTTAAAAATACTTAGTGAATGAAATTCAAAGTAAATTTTAATTTTATGAACTTTAAAGGTCATAACCTTAAGGTAATTCCACCCTCGTATGATGTCATAGGTTTTTGCAAAAACTGTAATTAGTTTAAATTCATACCTTATAGAAAAATATCTCTTGTAAGAATGCTTTACAATAGGTGTAATGATAAATATTGTTTAGTTAAAGAATTCAAAAAATGCATATTTTCTATATTAATCAATTATTTAATCTTTAAAAAAATTTTACAAGGGCAATAACTCCTTCTAAGGTCTCTTCATTCAGGCATTTGCTTTTTCTGTAAAATAGTTTACCTGATATTCACAATTCAAAAGTATCTTTTAAGTAGGAAGTATTTAGGAACACTCTGCATCAGAATTATGCATTTTAACCACTTTTCACATATTTTTCTTAATACTGTTTACAAAAAATGTACAATTTTTTCATGTAAACATACACTTCTGTTTATTTATGCTTGGCATCTTAAATAATATGGTGACCTATACATTTTTTGCAATAATTGTAAAATTTAAAGTATATTGAATGAAAATAAATGCAGTTTTTGTACTTTGAACCTATAAAATCGTGAGGGTGGAAATTCCTTAAATAATCTGTTGTCATGTCTCTCATACTCATGAAAACAAGTTTCGTGGCATGGCATTTGCCGATTCCTTACACTATTGATTAACCAGAAGTCTCTGTCGAGACTGAAGCTCTACTGGTTTGTACTTATAGCAAAGGAAGAGAAAAGTACTTAAGCAGTTGGGAATTGAAACTTTTCTACAGCAATAAATAGAATAATGATCCTTGATTAAGTCTCTTTATGTTCTTAGTGTAGTCTACTTGCATGCCACATTATATTATAATCACACTAAAACTGTATTTGGAGTAGCATTTTGAGAGTATTTAACAGAAATTTCTATTTTTAGTAACCACGGCAACACCGTTAATTGAAGTGAAAAACTTATACATAGAATTATGTATCTTAGTGTAGTCTACTTGTGTGCCATGTTATATTGAAATCAGACCAAAACTGTAGGAGGAGTAGCATTTTGAAAGAATTTCACAGAAATTTCTATTTTTAGTAACCACGGCAACACCGTTCATCGAAATCAAAAACCGATATACAGAATTATGTATCATAGTGTAGTCTACTTGTATGCCAAGTTATATTGAAATCAGACCAAAACTGTAGGAGGAGTAGCATTTTGAAAGAATTTCACAGAAATTTCTATTTTTAGTAACCACGTCAACACCATTCATCGAAATAAAAAACCAATACACAGAATTATGTATCTTAGTGTAGTCTACTTGTGTGCCAAGTTATATTGAAATCAGACCAAAACTGTAGGAGGAGTAGCATTTTGAAAGAATTTCACAGAAATTTCTATTTTTAGTAACCACGGCAACACCGTTCATCGAAATCAAAAAACCGATAAACAGAATTATGTATCTTAGTGTATTCTACTTGTGTGCCAAGTTATACTGAAATCAGACCAAAACTGTAGGAGGAGTAGCATTTTGAAAGAATTTCACAGAAAATTCTATTTTTAGTAACCACGGCAACACCGTTCATCGAAATCAAAAACCGATACACAGAATTATGTATCTTAGTGTACTCTACTTGTGTGCCAAGTTATATTGAAATCAGACCAAAACTGTACGAGGAGTAGCATTTTGAAAAATTGTTTACAGACGGACAGACAGACAGACAGACAGACGGACGGACGGACGACGGACGCATTACTATCGCATAAGCTCTTCTGGTCTCTGACCAGTAGAGCTAAAAAAGAGAGAGGAGTATGCATACATTTTCCGTCAATTTTGTCAATTTTTTTTGTCATTTAGTCAATTTTTTGGAGGTGGGTGTGGCCCATGAACAGTGTTTTGATGTGGTGATGCAAGGAAATGTTTGTGGAAATTAATTTTAATTTACAATAATATTTTCATTCTTTTAAACTTAATTTAACTTACAGGTCGACAGGGATTATCTTTTTTTTTTTTTTTGAATATCTTTCAGCCTTTTGTTTACTGTAAAACTCTTCCCATGTACTACTTTATTCATATATAATGTTTTTTGCCATCCAGGAATTTTAATCGAAAGAATATGTGCTTCAAACGTCCACGTTTTGACATTTACCTTTTTGCCATTTTGTACACGTACAGACAAAAGTTAAGAGCACGAGTGTGCACTGTCTTTGCAAAATTTAGGAATACAAATATCAAAAGCAACCGGAATATGTACAGGCTGATATCCGCCATCGTAAAGTTCATTCATAATTGTCTGACATCATTCCTGGTTGATTTTAAAATGTTTATGACGAAAATAAATGAAAGACCCCAAAGGATATGATATTATGATATATAATATAAAATATATTATAAAGACCAATCTTAGTGCTAATATTCCATCAGATACGTGTATAATGTATGCCTAGACGCAGTATGAACATACTAGTAATTAAAAAAGAGAGAGACACACGCAAGTACACAATTTTATTCAAAGCATCCTCCTTTATACGTTCGGCAAACACTGATTTACCCAGTCTTCTTCACAGTATTTTGGTGAACTGTGAAGATAGGACGTGGCTCCACCGAAACGCACTGCGACAAAATATAAATGGGCGGATAGAAGACATGCGACATTGAGAAGATCATCCAGTAAAAAGCGTTTGTGTTTGCACCTGTCAAAGCAAGCATTGTTCATCGCCCGGCGAAATGATTCGTCACACTGCTTTCTGCTGATACCGTGATAAGCTGCCTATATTTGTACAAGACAAAAGAAACTGTGGAAATTTTATAAAAGGGAATACCTATGTTTAGAAATTGAAGAATATGCAGTTCTTTCTAGAAAAATATGTCGGACTATATCTGTACTCACACAATCGTAACAGACATCATGCTTATCACAAGAAGAAGTGAAGATTCTAATGAAAGGATGAGGCATGAACGAAGGAACACTGCATCCATTGACTTGACCAGCAGGTGCCCGCGATTTACAAACGTCTGAAGAAACGACAATTCCAACGACTGTTACCAGTAGTATCGATATCAACCTATCAGTTGAAAATAGGGAGGAGAAGAAGAACATTAAATCAGATACATTAGATATGAAATTAACGGAGATATGAAGTTTATTATAATTACCTCATCTGGAATTCATCTATACCAGAATTTACATAAACACTAGAGAAAATGATTTGTTGTGTATTCTCTGCAATCCATATTTATGTTACAATGTTATCAAACATTCTGTTTCAGGATTTTCCGGTTACTTGTCCTTATGAAATTAAATTTGTTCAGTGAATGACTGTTTCCTCAAGTTTATATACTTAATTATCACAGCGGACCTTCTTGTACCTGTAATATTTAACATACATGTATGTAGCATACAAGTACTGTATCTCTATGCAGCATGTACTTGATTACTTACTTTTTAGCTCTCTATGCGTCAACAGTTTTTAGAATTTCGGTTTAACAAATACCTAGCATTGTCGAATTGCTAATGAAATAAATGAACAAATTTCATGTAAAATAAAAGAGGCAGATTTTAGTTCTTCATAGATGTTAAACACGTAGGTATGCACCTGTTAACAGGGTTTTTGCCTCTTAAACGCTACCCCCCCCCCCCCCCCCCCCCCCCCCCCCGTTATCCCCGGCAAAGAGTTTTATTTACTTTTATTCACAATATCTGAAAATCACATAATTTTATATCACAAGTCAGATAAGACTATTAGTATTTATGTTTCTGCTCAGATGGACTAAATTTTTGCTTTTCTTCCCCATTTTAATTTGGAATTTCAATCATCAGATTAAGACAAATATAGAAGAACAAATAGGAGGTAATAACTAAAAAATAATATAGATGTAACAATTTCAAGTCATACCCGTGGCATTATAAAATAGAATCTTTTAGCATACCACGGGTATGACTTTTTAAAGAAATTAATTTTTGGGGATTTTTTCATTTGGAATACATTGTAAACAAGCAAATTCAAAGAATTGTGGTCCCCCGCTTTCGGTGTCTTTGTGGGCGAGATATTATATTTTAGGGTCAAGGTCAAAAGGTCAAAGTTATTGTTATCCTATGAAAGGTATTGCCACAAAGAATACATATATTTAAAATATGAAAGTCCTAGTAAGGCTAGTATCTACCGTCCAAAAGTTGTGACCAAGGTTAAAGTTTTTAAAAAGTGGTTAAAACTCCAAGGTCAATGTCAAAGGGTCAAAGTTCTTGGTATGCAATGAAAGGTCTTCTCAAAATAATTACATACGTGAAGTACGAAAGCCCTAGCCCTTACCGTTTAAAAGTTATGGTCAAGGTTAAAGTTTATTCAGAAGTACGTAAATCTCCAAGGTCAAGGTCGAAAGGTCAAAGTTGTTGGTATCCAATGAAAAGTCTTGCCACAAAGAATACATATGTGAAATATAAAAGTCATTGTATATACCGTTCAAAATTTGTGACCAAGGTTATAATTTTTAAAAAGTAGTTATAACTCCAAGGTCAAGGTCAAAAGGTCAAAGTTCTTGGTATCCAATGAAAGGTCTTCTTACAAGAATTACATATGTGAATTATAAAAGTCATAGCTCTAACCGTTCAAAAATTATGGTCAAGGTTATAGTTTTTTCATAAGAACGTAAATCTCCAAGGTCAAGGTCGAAAGGTCAAAGTTGTTGGTATCCAATGAAAGGTCTTGTCACAAAGAATAAATATATGAAATATAAAAGTCCTAGTACCTACGATTCAAAAGTTATGGCCAAAGTAAAAGTTTGGAATTTTTGAGTAAAAGTTGGTCAAACTCCAAGGTCAAGGTCAAAAGGTCAAATTTGGTGGTACCCAAAGAAAGGTCTTATCACAAGGAATATACATATGAAATACGAAAATCATATCTCCACTAAATCAAAAGTTATGGGCAAGGTTAAAGTTTTTGTGACGGACGGACAGACTGACGGACGGACAGACGGACAGACGAATGAGATTTAATGTCCCCTCGCTTTCGCGAAAGCGGGGGACAATAAGTACTAGAAGAATAATTCAGGAGAATAAAAATAAGAAAATTTTTTGACCAGGGGTGTATGTTTTTTTTTTTTGGGGGGGGGGGGGGGGGGGTTGGAGCCGGTAATACACTAGAAAAGATGAGCAGAAATGAATTATTACATATATTGACAGTGGACAAACATAAACTAGGGGTCAAAGGTTATCTAATTTATTACGAGAAGGTGGTCGGAGGATCAGGTATTCGATATAAAAGCTTCGAACATCCCCAAGTGTCTGTGAAGTTGAATTTTGCTACAAATGACACAGTAAAAATCTGCACATGCTTAACAATGTGAGTTTGAATTGAATGAATTGTAAAATAGTTTGCAAAAAAGTAAAGCATTCTAGAATTAAGAGTAACAGAATTCTATCTTTTACTTCTACAGCTGCAAGTTTCATCTGAAATATTTAACACAAGAATATCTGTTGATTTTATAAATATATAAAATTGAAATATGTGTTTGATTTTATGAATGACATTGCGACCCAATTTCGACGTTTTGTGTGCAGTAGGCCTAAAAATTTGAGACTGGTAAAACGAAAAACGTTTTGGTTCCTTAATTACGTTCATACATATTATCTAACATCATTCCTGGATGATTTTTAAAATTTATGACGAAACTAAATCAATGAATATGATATTATATAGACCAACTTCAGTGTTCATGTTCTATCAGATATGTGTACAATGTATACAATGTAAACAAAGACGCAGTGTGAACATAATTAAGAATGAGACACACAATTTAGTATAAACTTTTATTCAACGTAGTATCCTCTATACGTTTGGCAAACACTGTTTTACCCAGTCTTCTTCACAGTATTTTGGTGAACTGTGTAGATAGTGCATGGCTCCAGCGAAACGCACTGCGTCAAAATATAACTGGGCGGAGAGTAGACATGCGTCATTGCGAAGATCATCCAGCAAAAAGCGTTTGCGTCTGTCAAAGCAAGCATTGTTCATCGCCCGATGAAATGATTCGTCACATTGCTTTCTGTTGATACCATGATAAGCTGCCTGTATTTATAAAAGTTAAAATTGTGAAAAATTTATAAAAAGGAATACCTATATTTAGAATTTGAATTATATATGCAGTTCTATCTAGAAAAATATGTCGGACTATATCTGTACTCACACAATCGTAACAGACATCATGCTTATCACAAGAAGAAGTGAAGCTTCTAATGAAAGGATGAGGCAAGAACGAGGGAACACTGCATCCATTGACGTGACCAGCAGGTGCCCGCGATTTACAAACGTCTGAAGAAACGACAATTCCAACGACTGTTACCAGCAGTATCGATATCAACCTATCAGTTGAAAATAGGGAGGAGAAGAAGAAAATTAAATCAGATACATTAGATATGAAATTAACGGAGATGTGAAGTTTATTATAATTACCTCATCTGGAATTCCTCTTTACTGGTTTACTTGCATCAAAACTAGAAAAGATGATTTGTTGTATATTCCCTGCAGTCCATATTTATGCTACAATGTTATCAAACATCTGTTTCAGGATTTTCCTGTTACTTGTCCTTATTAATTGAAAAATTTGAGTCTAAAATGACTGTTTCCTCAAACACGAAGAGCGTTTATATACTTAATTACCACAGTGGACCTTCTTGTACCTGTAATATTTAACATATGTAGCATACAAGTACCTGTGTGCAGCATGCACTTGATTACTTACTTTTTAGCTGTGTATGAGACAACAGTTTTTAGAATTTCGGTTTGACATAGCATTGTCAAATTGCTAATGAATTAAATGAACAAATTTCATGTAAAATATATAATTGGGGCAGATTTTTGTTCTTCATAGATGTTAAGCACATGGGTATGTACTTGTTAACAGGATTTTTTTCCTCTTTAACTCTACTCCCCCTCCCGTTATCCCAAGCAATGAGTTTTATTTAGTATTATTCACAATATCTGAAAATATTTTTTTATCACAAATCACTGAAATCAGATAAGATTTTTTATGTTTCTACTCACATGGACTATATTTTTGTTTCTGTTCTCCATTTTGGAATTTAGTACTTTCAGTTCTTTGATAGAGCTTATGACTTTGCCTTTACTGTGTGTATGAATTATTTAGAGAACGAGACGGGTTCTGTATCGTAGATACAAATTGGGGGGTGGAGACGAGTGCGCAGCACGAGTAAAAATGAATTTATTAACCGAGGAAAAAATCAACTCTGAAATAATTCTGATGTATTATTGTGGTGACTGGTTAAAAAAATGTGAATGAACACAGAGGAAGTCCTTACAAGTCTTTCAACAAGTACAGGTCACTCGGTACATGTAGTGTGATTGTAACGTAATTTTCAGGTTTGAGATTTATAAAAGACAGATAGAGAAGAACAAATAGGAGGTAATAACAAATAATCCTCTGCTCGAAATTTTACCAAAAAGATATTAAAAATCCAGGTATTGATTTATATCTACATAAATTAACAGCATTATACTCACTTTTTTAAAGATAAATTTTATGTCTAACCATGATCTAATAAAAAAAAAAAAAAAAATCCACCCAACGCAAGTTGCATGTCATTTGATTGGATAAGAAAATAGTTTATAAATATCGTATAATGTTTAAAACGCCGTCAAAAAAAGTAACACGTAAAAAGTCTATTTAGTGTCATTTTGAATTCAAATAGGCGTCGGAAGCAAATTGAAAGGGAGGACTAATTGAAAGTGGGGGTGGGGGTGGGTTATTAACCAGCAAAAGGGAAAGGCCCGAATTTTCAAGGCCTATATTATGCCTATCTTTGCAAAAAGCCCCCACCCCTTTCCGGTTAGGGAATTTATATTAGAATACAACAATGAAACGCTAAATAAGAGTATCACGCACATTATTGACTTTTTTATATAAAAATAAGATTGTTTCATCAGCAAAATTTATCTTTCTTTAAGAGAGAAAAAAAAGTACTTAATAACAGGAGGTGCTAATATGAAAATTCTACGTTGAGTATACATGATAACCCCTGTAGTTGTCAAATATTTTTTAAATTGAAAAAAATTGATAAATTTCATTTTTTTTAACCCTGGTAAGTAAAACTTTAGGTATTTTCAGAGGCAAGGGTCATTCCACCTTAAAGGGGGAGGAAATAAGCACCTCCCTCAAAGTTACCTGGTCTTAGAACCCCTGTCAAACATCTGAAATTAAGCCTGGGATTGGATACTTTGATTTGATTGACTTTTAGTTTGCTGCCGTTGTGTATATATCTTGTGTACCTTGTCTGGAGATCGTATCGACCATCGAATTAACATTCAGGCTTTTGATGCCTACCGTGTGTGCCAACGTGATAAAGAAGCAGGCAAAGCCTTCTTGTTTGATTCATAAGAATATGGCATAAGTATAATTAATCCATCAACTAATTAAATAAATGATAAGAAAAATAATGCCTATATCTTATATTTTAAATTTTGATAGGGGGGATTTCATTTCATTCACAATTACAATCGATCTTTTTAATTTCTCAAAGCAAGGGTTAACGCATATTTATTCCTCCATAATTAATAAATTAGTAGTACAATTCGCAGTCAACCTTGCAACTTTCAGATTTATTCTCGACGTTACTTAATTAGCGTCTGAAATTTACACAGCCTTTCATTCATGGTTGAAATATACATTCCGGCGAATGTCAAAGAGTGTAAAGTGATCCAATGATAGTTTTTCGTACGACAAAGAGGTGGGGCGTAAGCCGTCTCGTCGTTGTCAACAACAATTTAAAGTTGTTGATGTTTCTTAACCAACGAGAATCTATTATTCGCCATTTGAGAGATGTTAATTACGTAACACGCCGAGAAAGTCACGCCTATCTGAAAGTTCAAGGTTAACTGAGAATTGTACTACCTTTTCCTGAACCCGAGGCCCTTCATGGTAAGAGTGTTGGTTAAAATAGGTAGGAAAACCCGGGTCAACCGAATTTTTTTTTTAATTTTCTGTCTTAATCCTTCATCAATCAAAGTGAAATTTTCATATTATATTTGATATATGTCTATTTTTACTTGCTATAAAAAAATTGTCTTGAAATACTCTCTTTTTTACATTTTTGCAGTTGGGTAAAATTGATATTTTAAATCGGGCTCGGGATACATAGAAAATAAAACCGTGAACACTGAAACGGTCAAATTTAAGTTTTAACTTTAGTCTAGAAGTGTTTATAATAACTGTTGAAACTTGTAGAGCCTAGAGGTGTCACTATGACCCAGTGGTAAGACTACCGTGTTGAATTTTTAAAGATTTTGAAACTGTGGGAACAGAAATTATTTTTATTTGACCGGTGATTTGTTTGTGGAAAATACCAGAAGGTTGCATCAGAGACATAAATAACATTCTGCAGCTTGCATCATTTTGGATGCTAGCCTAGGCTTGAAGTGCTGTCCAGCAGGAAAACGTGAAGAAATTAGGTTGCGAGCAATGGATGAAGTTTTTGTAGTCGAGCCCTGTGTAGATAGTCTTGAGACACGGATTATTCTAACTAGGTCCTCTGTAGAAATCTATTAATCAGTGGTAAGATATATAAATTCTGACAGTAAAAGTAGATAATTCTGTCTACTTCTAAACAAGAGTGATTTAAAGGTGTATCATAGGAACAGGTCAGATTTGTTGTTTAGTAGATTGCAGTTTAGTGTGAAGTTTTACGTTACGTCACAATCTAGTTTGACAGCTGCGCTCAAGGTAAATAGTCCATGCCTCCTAACCACAAGCTTTACGACTGGACCTTTCTTCTAATCGCTGATTGGTTGCTCGTACAACACACTATTTCTGTGTCAATGTTGTAATATGAGTTGCCCAATTACGTGAATTGTTTACGCTGGATGCATCTGTCGAAAAAGATTGTGACGTAGTGCAAAACTTCACAATAAACTGAAATTCATAGTTTCATGCTGCACATTTTGGACTTTTTTCCACTTAGCTTTTGTCATAAAATGTAGTAGTAATAGAATCCAAAAAGTAGGTAAACTGGAGACCTGGAGTAGGTTTAAATACCAATGTGGTATTATAAATAGCTTTCTATGTGGAATAGTTTTGGATGGGACCTGGTAGTGAAGAAAATTAAGAAATGTAGTAAACACTTTGACTTGTCCACTGGTTGTGAGTGGGATAGCTCTCTAACCCTTGACAGGAACTATTCCCCATGGGATCGCTGGAGGGGGAAAAAATTCCTCTCAAGGGTTTCATGAAAGAGCTATTCAACTCACAACCAGTGGATAAGCATTTTATTATACTGATGTATATTATAAATTCTGAGGGTTGTATTAACTAAGCTAATACTACAGTTTTACCAAAAAATAAAAATGGTATATTAACAGATACGATGCTTTTGGTTTGGTGATTTAATGAAGTTAATGTATGGCCATGCCAATTAAAATATTATTCACATGATGACCATGTCAATTGCTGAACCAAATTTTGCTAATAATTGTCACTGCTGACATTCTTAATTGTACAATAACCTGTAGTTTAGTTTAAAAAGTATTTTATTTATAATATACAATAAAGTATACAATGAACATGGATTGAACAGCAGGCCAACGGCCTATGTTAGTTCTTTCCATTTGAGATCAAGGTACAAATTACGTATTTTAGTTCTACAAAGACATATATTTATAAGCTAATATTAAAAAAATTAAACAGTAACCTGTAGACAGTTCCTTATTATATATTTAATTTTCTTCGAAGTTTGTTATCTTGAACTTTCAGCTATATTTATTATTGCAGTATTTTCCGAGTCCCCTTGGCACTGAGTTGGATAAAAGTGAAATAATCAGAAATTTATCCCCCAAGAAGTAGCTTGTTGTATTATTTGAAAATAATTGGTGTTTCTATTTTTAGGGCCAACTTAAAAGTGAATTTGCAATAAGAATGACTACAGGAATGCTTGTTACAGCTAAGACATTGATTGAAGTAACAAAGCAGAGTCAGATGGAAGTTTGGAAGGTACCTGGGTGAGCTTTGATCAACTTGTAACGCTGAAAACTTTCTTCTGGAGTTATGGAGGCACATAAAGATAGTATGTCTGTCCGTCCATCGCTGCCTACACAGAGATTATTCAGACTTGGGAATGGGGCCACACAGACCAGAACAAGTATCAAGATTTGCAAGTTTGATGAGGGTATGATATCTTTGTATAAATTATATTTATATAGTTTTTAAAGTCAATTAACAGAGATAAAAGAAAAAAGTGATTGATGTAAACTAAATGTTGCAAATGTAAATTAGGACAAGTATTCATAAGTCATAACTTATCTAGTATAAAATAAATATAAAATAAATTAAAAAGATATGTCTTATGTTTTATATTTCTTTGCAGGTTTTATTGTAAATTTACTAATTCTATTTATAAATGATTTAAGAGCCGGACTCTGTTCATTCTGAGGTGGATGTTACTGACGAGGACTCAACTTCGGAGAGAAATGAGAACGGTAAACATACCAGTGTCCTGCCCAGCAGAGTCCCGTCTCATCTCCTCATGATCTCCATCCTGGAACACTTATGTTTGATGTATGCCCAAGATGCTGAAAAAGGGAAGCAACTCTTCCAAGGTGCCTTTTCAGTTTAATCAGTTAGATCGCTAAAAAGGGATCGGAAGAAACCCCATTCAGGGTCATCTCATGGTGACCTTTCAATTAGTCAATCAAACGTTCACTTCCAAGATTTAAGAAGCATCTTGGAGTTCAGTTAGAGAAGGGAAAGCCCCGATGATACATGAACAGAAAATCCTGACCTGTTTTCCTTAGCCTGCCAAGAGAACCACCACAGTCTTTTCTGTACAGAAATATAATAAGTTCTTGCTTTAGCCTTATTTTTTAGCTCTTTGTTTTATACGAAACGATAAGATCATCCCCACAGCTACTTTCATTTCTACATTCATTTTCCCGAATGTTGCTTAATTACGATCTCTCTGATTGGTCAAAATTGTTATGAATTTTTTTATTAGAAAGGTCACCAGGAGTTCTTCAGATCCTTGTGTAGCGATCTATGTGAGCGGATCAAAGGATCTGATTTTAATCAGATTGCATAAATTAATTAAGTACTAGAGTAATATTTAAGTAAACTTTTAGATTATATCTATTTTATTGTTTCTTTGGCATCAGGAGTTTTCTTTGTCTGACACCAGTGTTAAAGGCTGTGAATGTTTATTTGTAAATTACTTCAATTTCAAACCAGTATAGGGTGAATTCACCATGCATCGGATACCCTTGTACTTCAACAAGTTCTAGCGATATCGCTACCGAAGGAAAATTATCAAAATGGACCTCAACATTTAGTTTGTGATTAAAATATCAATTTAGGACACAATTATATGCCTTTTATTGAGAAAATATCCCCCAAAATCGAGTTTTTAGGAATAACTGAGAATTCACCATGGATCGGACATTGTTCACCATGCATCGGACCGACGGTATTGAAAACGGAAAAATATGTACCTTTATCACAGTGCTTTAAAATCCTTGATATGGGTATATTTTCATCTTTTATCTAAGAAATAACCCTCATCTAAAATTTAATTGACGATATAGTTGCACAAATGTAGAACGATTCAAGATACATCGCTCTGCCTTAGAAATGCTTTAAAATGCTTAGAATGCGGTAATTCGCGCCTTTCTCTCATGGTTTATCATGCTCTGGTTTGTAGAAATAAATTGAGTCAAATTCCAGGCGTCATATATCAATAACTTGTATTTTGACTGAAAATATAGAGTTTTTATTTTCTTTTTCCGCAAAAAACAGCTGTCAGCTGGGTTCTGTATGAAAATGGTAGTGCTTACCTTTGCATCGAAAAGTGTCCGATGCATGGTTAATTTGTGTCCGATTTACGGTGAAATTAGCATACTAGTAAAAACCAGCTCTAATAAGAATTAAACAAACATTGAAGTGAAATTTCTTTATAATTTATGTAAAATTACCAATCCCTGACAAAATTCACCAGAGTCCGACTCGTTCCGAGGAAGTCGAATTTAAAAGAACGATAACTCTGAAAATTGCAAAATCATAAATTTCGGGTTATTCCCCTTTGATGATGTAAAATATGACGTAACTTCAAGGCCATTTGTGGGGTATTTTTATCACAACATGACAAACACAATCGGTATCATTAAAAAAATTTAAATCTTCATCTTTACGACAGAAACAAATAAATACACAGAACTCTTAAGTTGAAAGAGAGTTTAATGCCTAAAGTTGTCCGAAGCAAGGTATGTGTCCGATGTATGGTGAACTCACCCTATATCAAAATCAGTGGTTTATGGGAGATGCTGATTGTCCTATCACTTCATTATAGTCTTTTATTTGACAGTTATATCTGATCAGTTGGTTCGGCACCAGTACGTTTCCCCTTTTACTGTGTTGGATGAGATGAAAAGCATCAGAGCACAGTATCGTTATTTCATGAATCACATTCTAAAGGCTGCCATGATGAAAATCTGTCAGGTAAAACAAAGACTTAGAAATAAGCAATAACTTATGTATTTCATTAATTGAAATAATTATAATTGAAACCTCATATGAATTTTTGGTTTTGGATTGAGTTGATGAGGTGTTTTCTATGAAACAATTTTAAAAGGAAATTAAAAATTTTTTTTTTTAACAGACACCAGCTGCTTTGCCGAGTAGTTCTAGTCAGGAAACTCCTTGTGCCAGTTCACCAGGGTAAGCTTGATTTATATTGTGCCTATCATGGTTATTAGGAAATTCTTGTTCTTTATGTTGTTAACCCCTTAACGGCCAAGTGCGCCTTTTGACGCATTTTCAGCATCACAGTGATTTAACTGCTGGCGTTTTGTAAATAATTGGGATACAACAAAACAGTTGATATTTTCTGAAACTAGAGAAGAAACACAACAATTTTTCTATTATCAGTTTTTCTTTGCGATGTTAAGAAATTATTGTAAACTTGAATTGAACATTGAATATAATTGCGGGAAGTTAGTAAAATTACGCATAAATGAGTGATTTTGTGCTATCTTCTGTAGGCTGTATCTTACTTACAGCACACGATAAAAAAAAATGAATGCCATATCCGAAAAGCGGGAAATTTTTCTTACATTTTCTCTATTGGACATTGAAAGGTAGGAGAATCCGTTACAGAAATATTTGTTGCTGAATATTGGAACTTTTTCGAGTAAAACAAAAAAAAAGCACTATGACATCATCTAACGTTTTACGTGTATACAATGAAATCGTTCATAAGCTCGGTGTAAAGTAAATCGATTCTTTTAATATATGGAACAGATTTATTTTTGAAATGAATTATTTCTAAAGAAGAGTTAATATACGAAACGTTTTGAGCCATTAACATATAATAAAGGGAATTTTCATTAGCTTTAGAATGTAAGTGATAGTTCTTGACCTAATGCCCCGATTTCGCACCCACTGTTTCAGAAATCCCTGTCGAATTTTGGGTCATTCCTACATGTAGTAGGAATAATTACAGGTATTGTCGTTACCATTTTCTTACTTTTCGGATTTGTCATTAAAAGTAAAAAAAAAAATCAAGCTTATAAATCTTTTTACGAGTCCTTTGTCTAGTATTTTAAATGTACTTTGAAAGGAAAAGCTGTCACAACGACGAAACATATTGGGAGTTAAAATTTCGATGAAGGAGATATTTTTGCTAACGCACAAACTGCATTTATTAAACTGACGCGATTATTTTTCTTACCCTTATCTTTATCTAATATAAAGTGAATGTATAGGAACATGAAAATAAAATAATGAATATACACTGTGATATTTAATTTTTTAAAAATCGGGAAACCTAATTTCGTTTGAATTATTTCCCTTTCTGTTACCATGGTTGTTATATACACAGGGAAAAACAAGCATGGACAATTATTTTTTTTTCCCATGTCACTTACAGATTTGCCGTTATAATATCTTAACTATAAATTTTAAGATCGAATTCAGCTCTAAGATATAACATACACGAATTTTTTTTTCTTAAATATTTACCAATATATATGTAGTTAAAGTTTAGATATGAACATCATGAAGGCCTAATGTTGAAAACGTATTCCACTGCAAATCTTAATGTCGCTTCATTTATTTACAAATTTCAAGACGGGATTTTCAGCCGTAAAAGCGTTCCTAATGGAATGCCATGAATGTTAAATAAATTTTTTTTATCTTGAATAAAAAAAGTAAAATCAAACCTATTCTCGAATAAGAAATGCATGGATCTTCTTTCATAAGTAATCATAGCATATCGCTAAAAATCAATTAACTTCAGTACTGAGTTTGCTCTAAATTTCACGGACATATTAATTGCAGGTTTCAAAAAGAACTGAAATTTACCAAAAAACCTTATATCATTAATACTAGTTGCGAGTCAGCTATTTATTTTTAAGACAATGAATTTTTAGATATAACAGATTGAATTGGAAAAAAAACAATTACTTCCGAAATGGTAATTTAGGAAGGATTTTGCATGACAGATACAATTTTATTTTTCATTCTTTGGGGAGCGAAATTCTTCATACTTCTGTTTTATATCCTAAAACAAGCTTTGATTTTTACTATTGCAGAGAATTTTAACTTATATTATAAAAAATGGAGAATTAACTTCAGTAACCTTAACTTCGTTACGATATTTTACCGAAATTTTAACTTAATTTTGGATATGTGAGACTTCATAAATCATACATTTGTGTCTATACTACGGAACAATGGAATATTAAAATTGTTTTTAGAAAGTAATCGATGCAAGAGTTGTGGACATTTTTTTCCCCCCAAGTTCAATGTTTCTTTGAGAAAATTATAATTATGTTTTTGCTTTTTGAAACAGTTATTTCTTTCATGATTTATATAATGAATTTGTCCATTTATCGTAGAATGACTGGGGATTACATGTAAGGTCGGGTAACGAAGTGGGACATACAATGGAAGTATATGCATTGGCGTCGGAAGCAAATTGAAAGTGGAAGGGGGCAAAGTAAAGGAGAAAAAAATATTCAAGTTACCAAAAACTTGAAAAGAGAAAAAAAATGTCTTTCGTCCTTCACAAAGATCCTATTTCGGGAGGGAGGGAGGGGGAGGGTTAATATCGAACTTCTCTCATTACAATTTCTGTCTAAACCCACGATCCAATGTTCATTGTTTATATTATGGCTATGTTTGCAAAAAAGAGGCCCTAGCCCCCCATCCCCCGGTTCCGACGCCTATGATATGTAAATTTGTGTAGCGATTCAGATTCCGTTTTTAGCTCTACTGGTCAGAGACCAGAAGAGCTTATGCGATAGTAATGCGTCCGGCGTCCGTCCGTCTGTCTGTCTGTCCGTCTGTAAACAATTTTTCAAAACGCTACTCCTCCTACAATTTTAGTTTGATTTCAGTATAACTTGGCACACAAGTAGACTACACTAAGATACATAGAATAGTGCATCGGTTTTTGATTTCGATGAACGGTGTTGCCATGGTTACTAAAAATAGAATTTTCTGTGAAATTCCTTAAAAACGCTACTCCTTCTACAGTTTTGGTCTGATTTCAATATAACTTGGCACACAAGTAGACTACACTAAGATACATAGAATAGTGCATTGATTTTTGATTTCGATGAACGATGTTGCCATGGTTACTAAAAATAGAATTTTCTGTGAAATTCCTTTAAAACGCTACTCCTTCTACAGTTTTGGTCTGATTTCAATATAACTTGGCACACAAGTAGACTACACTAAGATACATAGAATAGTGCATTGGTGTTTGATTTCGATGAACGGTGTTGCCATGGTTACTAAAAATAGAATTTTCAGTAAAATTCCTTTAAAACGCTACTCCTTCTACAGTTTTTGTCTGATTTCAGTATAACTTGGCACACAAGTAGACTACACTTAGATACATAGAATAGTGCATCGGTTTTTGATTTCGATGAACGGTGTTGCCATGGTTACTAAAAATAGAATTTTCTGTGAAATTCCTTTAAAACGCTACTCCTTCTACAGTTTTTGTCTGATTTCAATATAACTTGGCACACAAGTAGACTACACTAAGATACATAGAATAGTGCATCGGTTTTTGATTTCGATGAACGGTGTTGCCATGGTTACTAAAAATAGAATTTTCTTTGAAATTCCTTAAAAACGCTACTCCTTCTACAGTTTTGGTCTGATTTCAGTATAACTTGGCACACAAGTAGACTACACTTAGATACATAGAATAGTGCATTGGTTTTTGATTTCGATGAACGGTGTTGCCATGGTTACTAAAAATAGAATTTTCTGTGAAATTCCTTTAAAACGCTACTTCTTCTACAGTTTTTGTCTGATTTCAATATAACTTTGCACACAAGTAGACTACACTAAGATACATAGAATAGTGCATTGGTTTTTGATTTCGATGAACGGTGTTGCCATGGTTACTAAAAATAGAATTTTCTCTGAAATTCCTTAAAAACGCTACTCCTTGTACAGTTTTTGTCTGATTTCAATATAACTTGGCACACAAGTAGACTACACTAAGATACATAGAATAGTGCATCGTTTTTTGATTTCGATGAACGGTGTTGCCATGGTTACTAAAAATAGAATTTTCTGTGAAATTCCTTTAAAACGCTACTCCTTCTACAGTTTTGGTCTGATTTCAATATAACTTGGCACACAAGTAGACTACACTAAGATACATAGAATAGTGCATCGGTTTTTGATTTCGATGAACGGTATTGCTATGGTTACTCAAAATAGAATTTTCTGTGGAATTCCTTAAAAACGCTACTCCTTCTACAGTTTTTGTCAGATTTCAAAATAAGTTGGCACATAAGTAGACTACACAAAGATACATAAAATAGTGCAATGGTTTTTGATAAGTACAAACCAGTAGAGCTACAGTCTCGACAGAGACTTCTGGTTTCTATTGCGACATTGAATAAAAAAAATGAAGAAAAATAGTGTTTTGTCAGACACAGACAGAAATGCTGTCACTGAATTGCAAGAAACTTGTTTGTCTGTGTAAACCATAATGAGAAGGACCCCCCCCCCCCAATAACCATTCTTTTTATATCGCAGGTTCATATCTAAATTTATTATGAATATATTTATACAAGTGCCAAGTCCAAGAAAAGACATTTGCACGCAAGTCTAATACATGTCACCTATGAACTATTATATACGCGGTCTTTATGAATGCCTAAATACATCGATAATCAACTCAAGCCATGGTCCAGAGTCCGCCTGTAGCCCCCAGATTGAAAGAGGATTTTGGCCGTGATTAGAAAGACACCGAGTTTGCACTAGGAAATGCGAAGTATTTGTCATCTAAACATTTTGTTCCCGGTGCATGTATTTTACTTTAGGTCCCTGAAAAAAAAGTTTGGTGATTTTGCTTTGCATAAGCCTGCCCTGATATTACCACCTAAAAATATTGAAGATCTATAACAATGAAACGAAATCCAAAAAATGAAAAACTCAAACTTAAATCTATATTGCGCTGTCGCCCTATGCGGGCTCATCAGTGGATTAAGCAATTAAACAGATACATATACCTGCAAAGATAACATGATCAAGATTGTGACTCAAACTGGACTCAAAGTGATGCACTCAGTTTTTCTTAAGAAGGTTGACACACGAGAATACTCATTTTAGGGTTTCTTTAGTAAGGACATCTTCAAAGGCTGCTCCATTTGCCACCTCCATTTTTAGCTCTACTGGTCAGAGACCAGACGAGCTTATGCGATAGTAATGCGTCCGTCGTCCGTCCGTCTGTCTGTCTGTCCGTCTGTCTGTCTGTCTGTCTGTCTGTAAACAATTTTTAAAAATGCTACTCCTATTAGAGTTTTGGTCCGATTTCAGTATAACTTGGCACACAAGTAGACTACACTAAGATACATAATTCTGTGCATCGGTTTTTGATTTCGATGAACGGTGTTGCCATGGTTACTAAAAATAGAAATTTCTGTGAACTTCTTTCAAAATGCTACTCCTCTTACAATTTTGGTCCGATTTCAATATAACTTGGCACACAAGTAGACTACACTAAGATACATAATTCTGTGCATCGGTTTTTGATTTCGTTATATGGTGTTGCCATGGTTACTAAAAATAGAAATTTCTGTGAAATTCTTTCAAATGCTACTCCTCCTTTAGTTTTGGTCCGATTTTGATATAACTTTGCACACAAGTAGACTACACTAAGATACATAATTCTGTGCATCAGTTTTTATTTTGTTGAGTGTCAAGGATCATTTTTCTATTGATTCCTGTTTTGAAGTCTCAAGTCACAACTGCTACTTTTCTCTTCCTTTGTTTTAAGTATAAACCAGTAGAGCTACAGTCTCGACAGAGACTTCTGGTTGTTTACATTCCATGCCTAAGTTTCGTTTCCTTTTTTACTCATCGGTAACCCCTTCCCCCCTTCCACACAGACACATATTGCTTCACGTCTCTTAGTAAATAGAGATAAAGGATTACTCTGGGTAATGGATTTAAAGGGGATCAAACAGTTACTTGTCCTGGTTGGAATATTTATTATACCCCATGCAACTAGTTGCGGGAGGTATAATGTTTTTGACTGGTCCGTCAGTCAGTCAGTCAGTCAGTCAGTCCGTCAGTCAGTCAGTCAGTCAGTCCTCTTTTTTTGTCAGCGCAACTCCTCATAAACCGCTGCACAGAATTTCGTCAAACTTTGCAGATATTTAGGACACAATGTGTAGATGTGCATATTACCAGGAAATTCCAATTCCATTATTTTTTCCAGGTATTTCCGCACTCTTAACTTAGGCATTTGGCCATACCTTGAATATAGAGATGAACAGTTTGTCAGCGAAACTCCTCATAAACCGCTGCACAGAATTTCGTCAAACTTTGCAGGCATTTAGAACACAATGTGTAGATATGCATATTACCAGGAAATTTCGATTCCATTTTTTTTTCTAGGAATTTCCGCACTTTTAACTTGGGCATTCGGCCATACCTTGAATATAGAGATGAACAGTTTGTCAGCGCAACTCCTCATAAACCGCTGCACAGAATTTCGTCAAACTTTGCAGATATTTAGGACACAATGTGTAGATGTGCATATTACCAGGAAATTCCGATTCCGTTATTTTTTCCGGGAATTTCCGCACTTTTAACTTAGGCATTTGGCCATACCTTGAATATAGAGATGAACAGTTTGTCAGCGCAACTCCTCATAAACCGCTGCATAGAATTTCGTTAAACTTTGCAGATATTTAGGACACAATATGTAGATGTGCATATTACCAGGAAATTTCGATTCCTTTATTTTTCTAGGAATTTCCACACTTTCCAACTTAGACTTTTTGGCCATATTTTAAATATAGAGATGAACAGTTTGTCAGCACCACTCCTCTTAAACTGTTTTACATAGTTTCGTCAACCTATGCTGATATTTAGAACATATTCCATTATTTTATCCCAAAGAGTTTTGACTATTATTCAAGAAAATTTCTCAACCCCCCCCCCCCCCCCCCCCACTTCAAATTAATGTGTGGATTTGTATATTGTCAAGAAATTTTGATTCCATTATTTATCTAGAAACTTCATTCCAAATTTAAATGTCCTCATATGCAAGACATTTTGATGAGAAGATTTTTTGCAATTATTGCCCTTTTTGATCTATACTATGTATTTAAAGTGCACTGTGCCTTTCATTATGTGTTTCACCATCAAGTTATGGGGGAGCGTGGGGTATGTGAGCTAGCTCACTTTTTCTTTCATTTTAAATGCTACATGACACAGCTAGTTGGTGTTCATTTTGCATTTGCATTGATAATTGATTTGGGAAGGGGATCATAGGTGATGATAAACCATGTAATGGAAGACATGTGCAGTACTTGGTAAAACCTTCATAGGGAAAAGTAGAATGGACTAAATTTAAATTCAAATTCATGCATGCATAAAAGTGAGACAAGTAAAAAGTTCCAAAGTCATGTAAACTCGTATTAATACTGTGTCTTTTTATTTTAATCCCGATGTAAAAATTTTACATTTTGCTTTATGCATACGCTACCGATTTCAATTACATACTCCCAGTTACATATAACTATAATGATCAATCATATTAAAATCAGCTGTAAGTTTTTGTTTGGCTACGTTTAATACTAGCCCAGGTACTACGTTGTTCGTCATAAACGTAGACGATCCCTGAGGCACGCCAGCCTCAATATTGCACCATCCCGATGAAGATGCAAAATCTCTGGCCGTTAAAGGGTTAAAATGCCTCTCCTTCTGTCTTGATTAGGAATGTCAAATTATTAATTTCCTTAGTCGAACATTCGATTGCATTATTTGAACGATAGTCGACTATTTGAAGCATTTATTATTTTTTTTTATAGCACAGTGTTTTTGAAAGCTTATTAATTAAAATGAATTGGAAAATTGAAATAAATTGGAAATGAAGAATTAAAAACACACACTGTCCACACTGAAAACCCTCCGATGAAAATGTTAAATACTGTTTTTCAATTAATTAATGATTGCCCAAGCTATATATCAAAATGTCTTTTATGTAAGATTATTGTTTCAATAATTATCGAACTTTACAACTTCACGGCTATGCAAATATTGTGTGTTCCTAAGCATTTGAAATTTCCATAGTTTATAAATATAATTGGTACAAGTCAATTAAATAATTTTCATAGTCCAGTATAGCGTTGCATAATTTAATACGTACAATAACAAGAAAAAGTCAGTGATTGAGAAATCATAATCGCGGTATGTAATTACTGTATTTGCCATATGTACAATGTGGAAAATTATTTATATACTGTGACTGTGTTTGAGCTCTTATTCGTCTGAAAACGTACAGTATACAGCTGCATGGTTTGAGGAAGGACCCTTTTTCAATTTTGAGATAAAAATTTCATTCCATTTTCTTTCATTTATCTAATATTTGAATGTTGTTTCATTATTCGATCGTCGGTCCGTTCAACTGACAGTCGAATAGTCGACTATTCGTTGACATCACTAGTCATGATGAGTAGTATTATTGCTACAAATGTTTTTTTTTTTTTAACTTTTCCAGACTGCGACACCAGTTGTCTTTCCTGTCCACAGAAGATATGCTGCAGATGCAGACCTCAAGATACACGACAGAATTCAAAGAGATCAGCAAAATTGGCAAAGGAGGTTTTGGATCTGTGTACAAGGTGTAGTGTCATAACATTCTATGGATATTTATTAAAACTTTTTGAACATTTTTAGAAAGGAGACAGTATGGACAAGTTTTTATCATACCTATCTCATCTTTTAGACTTTTTAAAAAAGTTTTTAAACCGCTTTTTCAGTTTTTAAGCTTTCAATAAAGATCCATGGCTGTCCTGATGCATATGTAAAGTTGAAACTTGGTTTACCATTATTGAGTATGTAAAAGTTTCTTGAATAATTTCAGAAATGTTTTGTTTCTTAATTTTAGGCCAGACATAATTTAGATGGGAGGATGTATGCAATCAAAAAGATCAAGTTTAAACACTCTAAACCTGAAGTGTGGATGAGGGTAAGATATATTCAAGAATTTAATATTTGAAAAAAAATTTTGGAATGGGAAAGGGGATGCAAAAATTAGAATTTTGAAATTCTCCTCTCAGTGCTTTTGATGTTCATTTCCACAGGTTCTGAGAGAAGTGAAAGCCTTAGCAAACTTACAGCACGGGAACATTGTAGGGTATAACGCTGCCTGGCTGGAATATGCAACAAACTTTGATCCTGAATGTGGTTTGTTTCAATATGATATCTAGAATTGTATTTATAAAATAAATAAACTTTGAATAAAAATTTTATGAACCTTTTAAACTGCATGTAAATTATATACAGTATTACATACATGTAGCTTTTCTAGAAAGGAAGTGCAAATAATCACAAGAGTTCGCGTACCTATCAATTTTGCCAAAATTTTCGGTAAATAAAAAAGATACGCAATACGTATAATAATAACACAAGGAGTGCTACCGTTGTCCGCGACGCCATGACGTGACGTCACGGGCGGTCCATTTACCCAAAAGGAAAAAAAAAACCAATCGTACACAATTAACTAGAGATAAAGATATTACCTTTAGATGTGAGGACAAGTACTTGTACCTCCCCGTTTTAAGTTTTCTTGAATGTCTACTAACTTGTCTCTGGTTTCTTTTCGCATATGACCTCATCATCTAGATTCAGTTTTGTTCCTTTTTGGGTAAATTGACGCGCCCGTGACGTCACGTCATGGCGTCGTGGACAACGGATATTTGAGCGAAGTTGTGGAGTAATGTCACCGCTGCGGCTGTAAAACATGCGTTTGAAATCATATGCATTAAGAGCCATAAAGAATGGTCCCTTCCAAAAAGATTGGTTTGTGTTTTATAATTTTCAATTGAAGATTAATTGTGCGACAGCCTTGATATTAAGCGAGGGGTTCCCAGGTGACCTAAAATGTGATGCACTCCTTGTGTTATTATTATACGTATTACGTATTTTTTTATTTAATGAAAATTTCGGTATAGTGATAGGTACGCGAACTCCTGTGACATAATTAAAATCACCATATTCTGATCATCCTAAAACGGACAAAAAACACAAAAACAAACAAGAACTGTAGGTAAAGGTAGACTAAGTTTTGATTACCCTTTCCTTGTTTAATATGTTAGAAAACAATTCTTTGAAAAAATATTTATGAATGCAAATTGAGAGAGATGAATTTTATTTTACAGGAGATACAGCGGTGTCCTCCCCAGCAGACTTAAGGTAAATCATTTATAGTCTAAAATAACTTTACATTTAATATCGTTACACAAAGGTAGAGAACCTATTGCTATTAATATTGGAAATGCAAATTTTAGCATTAAAACAGTGAATTTTCCCATAGCTTGTCTAATATGATATGACACTTTAAATCAATTATTTAAGTGTTGTCTAAATGAGAATTTTGTTTTATCAAAACAGTTTCTTTATAACAATGGTGTTTGGATGAGCCAAGTTTTACTGTATTTGCTCATATGTGGGAGTGGATCAAGTAATCCACCTCATGTCTCTCTAGCAGGAGCTACATAACGTGAACACTTTTCCCTTTCCAGCTTTCAGCCTAAAGATAAGGAGACAGATGACAGTGTGGTGTTTGCTGCCTCTGGACCTAGTGGAGCCAGTGATGGCATTAACTTTATAGTACACAACACCGCCTCTCTTTCACCCCCTTTCTCCCTCAGGGGCCCCTATGTGGAGGAGCTGGATGCCAGTGACTCAGGGAGTGTTTGTAAAGCCTGTCTATTGAACAATACCAGTCAGGCAGACACTCAACAGACAGGGCTGATCAAAAAACCTCCCAAACACAGCTGTGCCAAGAAATTCTTTGAATCTGAATTCACAGGGACTTGCTCCTCTATGCAGGCCACTGAAACTGTAGACAGGGGCAAGGCGTGGGATGTTATTGACAGTAATGGACGATTCTGGAATAGGCAGCTTCAAGTGAAACGAAGTATTAGTTATGATCATATGCCATGTTGTGACAACGACACGCATGAGAAGTGTCAAAAATTTGAAGTGAGTTGTCTATCATTTTATTGTTTTTTCTTGCATATATACATGTATGAAAAGAGGTGTTTCTCTCATATACTGTAGAAGTACTTTTTTTCCCGCGAGGTATTAATTTTCGCTATGTACACGGTCACAAATTTTCCACGGAAATTTGTCCCATTGTATTTAATATACTTGCAAGGCATTAAGTGAGAGTCTAGGAAATCTTTGTAGTTTTCAACCCGCAGATTAAACAGAAAAAGAGATTTCGCTGTATTGTGACCCTGTGGGAAAAAAGTACATCTTCAGTATATAGCATGGGGAAAGAATATGACAATGTTAATTTATTGGTGAGTGCTTTGTTTATTTTTGTTTCAGATTAATGTTAGTTTGTTTATACAAATGGAACTTTGCAGTCTAACCTTAAAGGATTGGCTGCAGCAGCGAAACCAAAAGTGTACAAATAAGACAGGTACATATATGTTTGTATTTGTACAAATAAGACAAGTAAGTTTGTATTTGTACATAAACCCTGTCAGCTAATCTACTGGATTTCTGAATTTTGACTTGTTTTTTTGATTGTTAAATTATATTTGATCGATATTTCTCAGTGTCCTCTTTGTTTTTGTGTGCATGTATATGGATATTTTATTAAAACGTGTACTTGCACAGTATATACAATGTCATGTAAATAATTTTCATGTGTAGTATTACCAATGTATGACTTACATAGGTATGTGGAAATATTTCAGACTTGCCATATTACTCTGTATACAACATGAAGATATTTAAGCAGATTCTTAAAGGAGTTGAGTTTATCCATAGTAATGGTCTTATTCATAGAGATTTAAAGGTAATTATTCCACAAAGAAGTTCTCAGTATTGATTAATTGAATAACATTTAAAAGTTTCCAAGATTTTGAACTTTTTTTTTTAATAATTGAAGCAGCCAATATTATGTTATGCATATGGCAAAAACATAGATTAATCATCTTAAGACACTCAGAAATTGTTAAATGCCAAATCTCTTATTTCCATAGCCAAGAAACATATTCCTGCATGAGCCAGAGCTGCATGTGAAGATTGGAGACTTTGGGTTGGCAAAGGATGATCTTGTGAAAGGATCTGACGATGTTCTGTTAACTCCATCTCCTGTTGATTTATATGGTAAATAAATTTATCTAACTTGTATGAGAGTGCAATTTTTTTATACAATGAAGTGCATTGAAGTGGTAATATTCTCCGTCTGAATGGAAGTCATGAGCTTTCTATTGAACACTGATGTCTTATAATGACAAGGCTATTTCTTTAAATGAATAAAATTAAAAAATGATGAAAAAGTTCATTTGAATTCCCATTGAACAGGTATTCCATTAATATAATAGCCAATCAAATTGACAGTCTACATGAACACTGAGTAAACGTGTGTATGACCAATACATGTTGTGGTAACTAGTAAACATGATAAATTAATAATTATATACCCGGTACATTATTAATAGAATAAATGTTTTACAAAAGCAGGGTCTCCAACTCTCTCTTCTAAATTTCTATATTATTCTCCATTTCAATGTACATGTAACTCATGTTGCCAGTGACAGAGAGTGGGGTATCCTAAAGCATTTCAATGAATATTTCTTTCTCATTTTTAAAAAGAATTGCAGTGTCATTTTGAAGCGATTGACATTCAGTAAGAATCACCCAAATTTCCTTCTCAAAACAAAATATTTTAACACTTCAATGCACTTCATTGTAAATTAATTTCATTTGTTGCCATATTTATTGTCTGTAAAATTAATTTGTAAATGGTTACCGGTTATCAGAATTATTTTCTTTTCTATGTAATTTGAAATGCTTGTTTTTCTTTAAATTGCCTACAGAAGTTAAAAGTTTGAATCATATCATATGTTCATAATACACTGTACATGTATCAAATTTTAATACAAAATAGATACATTTTGAAAACAATACAAGAATATGATGGTAGCTAAGAATAAATTATTAATTATTTACTTTCAGATTACTATTCGATACAGTATACATGACATATTTCCATTGTTTAAGTCTATGTGTTATTTCAACATTTAGATGAGTTTGTTTGGGAGAAGCATACATCAGGAGTTGGGACTTCCACGTATGCAGCACCCGAGCAGCTGGAGGGAACTCTGTATAACTATAAGGTAGTCACATGATTGCTGCTACTGAATCTTATCCTTTGTATAACAGTTACTATAATTTATCATCACTTTTCCTTTATTTGTATCCCATTTAAATCGAAATAAGAAACAAGTCTCTTTTTCTCTCTTGCAGAGTGATGTGTACAGCTTGGGCGTTATACTGTTTGAAATGTTCAATACTTTTCAAACAGAGATGGAGAAATTCCATTGTATGGATCAACTCAGGAAAAACAGGGAACTCAGTGAAGACTTTCTGATGGAATGGCCACTTCATGTAAGTCATTTTTAGAAATTGTATTATTGTATTTTTGTTTCAAGAAAAGAGAAATGCACTGTACATGTTTTATAAAAATGAAAGGAGAAAAGTGTAATTGAGAAGGAAAACTGGTTTCCGATATGAAATATACATGGACACTGTTTTCAATTTAAGGTCAGTTTTGTCAAAAGAATGACGTCACTTCATCCCAATGAGAGGCCCTCTGTCAGAGAAATACTGAACAGTGAATTGTTCCTCACCAAAGAGCAGGTAACTCCTACATTAACACATCAATTACATACCAGCCATAGTCTAATGATTTTTACTTGTTTATGTATTTTTATGTTATTACGAATACCCATGTTTTCTCTTTTGTGTTTTAACTTAATATACAGTTAACTTCTGTGAGATGAATATGTTTATATCAAGAGTGATTTGGAGGTCCTAATTTCATATTTGTAAAGGGTATTTTTTACCCTTTGTATCCAGATTCTTGGTAATCAAGTTTTTCTGAATCCTATCATGTTCTATATATAAATCTAAATGTTAGATGTAAATATATTATTTAGAGAAACTTGATATACTGCTTCACTGAGTTCAACTGTTTGGTCATGTATTTCCAGGTAATTCAGAATCTCAGGCAAACTCTAAAGGACAGAGATGAAGAAATTCGGAGATTAAAAGCAATGATAGAAGAACGGGACAAAAGATTTGATCGACTAGAAAAAGACTTTGGAAAAGTGACAAATATTAAACTAGATCTGTGTGACAAGGAAGATGTGGTGCTTTAAGTGCTGTAAATGCTGGCAGCTAATGACTAAAATTGGTTCAAGAAATTGGTATGAATGATTGGAAGTGGCCAGAACTTACTGTATGCTTGTGTTGGAAAGGAAACTGGAGGAGGAAATTGAAAATGAATACTCACAGTAATTAGAAATTTATATGAGTGATTGGAAAAGCTTCCACAATAGATGAAAGTTTGTCCATTGTGAATGTGAAGGTTTTTATTAGATAATTATACCCCCCGCAAACGAAGTTTGGGGGGGTATATAGGAATCACCTTGTCCGTCTGTCCGTCTAGCTGTCTGTCCGTCTGTCTGTGCAAACGTGTCCGGTCCATATCTTTCTTACAGAGGGACATTAGAATCTACTACTCCACACAAAGATTGCCCATGACCTAAGGGTGTGTCATAACCTTGACCCAAGGTCATTTGGGGAAGTTCAAGGACACTGGAAGAAAAATTTCATAATTCCTGTCCGGTCCATATCTTTCTTATGGATAAACTTGGTAGGTTCTCATTTCACACAAAGATTGCCCATAGCCCAAGGGTGTGTCATGACCTTGACCCAAGATTATTTGGGGAAGTTCAAGGTCACTGGAAGAAAAATTTCATAATTTGTGTCCGGTCCATATCTTTCTTATGGAAAAACTTGCTTCTGAAAAACCCAGCGGGGGGTATTTTGTCCCGTTTGGACAGTTCTAGTTAATTTTTGATTTTTTTGTTGAACTATATACTACATGTTAATAAAAGCTTTTTATGAAAGTTTGTCCATTGTAAATGTGAATGGTTTTGGAGAGTTGGTAACTGGAAATGAATAATTCGAAATTAATATGAGTGTTTTGAAGAGCTTCAACATTAGATGAAAGTTTGTCCATTGCGAATGTGAATGGTTTTTGAGAGATTATTGATTTTCAAATTTTTTGTTAAACAATACTACATGTTAATAAAAGTTTTTTTTACATTATTTGTGTGTGATTATATTCAAGAAGCCTAACTTTTGATCTCGGGCATGTTCGATGATTCAAAGGAAGTTTAATTGAAAGGTGGAAATTTAAAAGCTAGATAGCATAGCTAGGCAACTCAATTCACTTCTTTCTTTAATATAAAAATAAACCAAAACAAAACCTGAGACCCACAGCCTTATAGATCACTTGAGTATCATGCAACATTTTCCAACTATTGAATTTGGTTCTTGTTTTAAACAGAGGCCATAAAATTCACAATATTGAAAGAGGCACCATAGCTAATACATGTACTAACGTTATGCTTGGCATGCTTTCTTTGATTACCGAATACCCAGAGGAAGATCAGAGGAAAAAAGAAAATATGCATTTCCACTGTATAATTAGTAGTCCACCCCACAGGAACCACTGACCCTGGGACAACATATTTCAAAAAGGCACGTTTGCTCATCATAGAGTTATATTTACTGTGAATTCAAAAATTTTCATGTGGGTTAATTTTCATCGTTTTCGAAATATGACGAGACCCACGAATTCATGTCCACAACGAAATGTAAAATGTTACATACATAAGTACTTATTAATTCTTAATCCATGAAATCAAACCCCCACTAACCAAGAAATTTTCCTCAAACCATGAAAATTTGACCCCACAAAAATATGTGATTTTACAGTATTTTGAAATACCAGAGCAGCTTTCAAAGCATTAATTCATTCAGGAAAAGCTTCATCATAACTATGTACATAATTTCATTTAGTTCACTGGTTTAATACTCTGGAGTAGAGGAGATGATTTTCAAAGAATTACTGTAATGTATTTTCTCTATACATGTATAATCAATGGAGCCCCATCCTTACACCAGAACCCCTGACCCAGGGGCCACAAAATTCACAATATGGAAGAAGCATCCTTTCTCATCATTACTATGTACATAGTTCATTGTTTTAATATCTAGGAGCAGAGGAGACGATTTTCAAACAATTGATGCATTGAATTTTTCACCTTTATTCAGTAAAGAGCAAAGCAGATTTTTAAAGGTTGCATTATTTTCAGTGCTTTTGATCCCACCCCTCAGGCTCCAGGGGGGGGGGGGGGCAAGGGCCATGAAATTCATAATTTTTGTTCCCCTTCACCCATAGATGATGTATGCCAAAATTGGTTGTAATTAGTTCAGCAGTTTCAGAGAAGTTGAAAATGTTCAAATGTTATGCCCTTTTCCTATAGAAACTGTTTTTGTAACAGTAGACATTACATTGAAGGCATTAATCACATGTGTAATATTTTTATTGCTGTGGCTCCTGATCTAAACAAAATGGTCCACAAGTTATCATACACCCAATGGAACATTTTCCAGAATTTTACACTGATATTGAAGTGTTTTTTAGTCACAAATTCTACATGCACTCCAGATAAAAGAATACCCGGTACATGTACAAGATTCTATGTGATGCATACTTTTGATGGGAAACATGCACAATACATTCTGTTTGTTTCATTTCTTTATATCTCTTTCTGTGTTGTTTTCCTCATCATCTGACCATTCATCTTCTAACAAGTCTATTTCATCTCCTTTATTATCAATGTTCCCATCTGTTATAAATCTTTGCATGTCCCTCACTCGAAGAGGACCGTGCATTGCTGGAGAACCTAAACTGTTTTTAAAACCCAGCCTTTTGAGTGTTGGACTTTTCTTGTTTTGTTCTTTAGCCATCTGAAGATTATCTTTTTCTCCTTTATTTAATTGTTCAGAATTAATTGTTTTATCAAGATGTGTTCTATTTTCTTCCTGTTCACACTTTGTATTTTTGTCCCCTGTGATATTAAGTTCATCATCCTCATCATCAAAATCCTCCTCCTCATCTGACCACTCATCTTCAAGAAAATCTGGTTCCTCACACCTCTCAGCATTATTGTCTTCAGAGTCATCAGACAAACTTCTCTGCATTTCACTCACTCTCTGAGGAAACCCAGCTGCTGTTGTAGTGAACATCTCTCGCCTGTCTTTCTCTTGCTGTCGTAATTCTACATTCACTCTGTGATCATTTTGTTCTCTGCTGTCTTTCATAGATTTTTTCTCCCTCTTCCTCAGACCTGCCTGAAGTTTTTGTTTAGAATTTTGAATTGATTCCATCAACAGGGTGTGATCTAATCCGTAAATGTCATCACGATATGATTTTTCTACGTATTCTTTCATTTCTTCAGGGCCTCGATCTTCGGAAACTTCCCATAACCTCTCCAGTATTTTGGGAGAGGCCTGTAGTATTGGTATTCCGTGGTGAGCAGTGGGTGGAGGGAATTTCTGGGGTTCATAATCTGGACCATAGTCTGCTACTGATAATACCTTATCAATATATTGGAGATAGGAGGTCTTCAGTTGAGATTTGTCCCACACAAACTGAATATTGGGAATATGTCCAGAGATTTTTCTTCCTATTAATAAAGATCTAAAATGAAATCCATAAATGATTATTAGAACAGAATAACTGACATGTGCATGTTTCAGAATCACACCTAATTCATTTCCAGTTTTTCAGTGCAATTATCCCCCCTCCCCCCCCCCCCCAATTCCTATGTACCAGTAAGGAAAGTGTGTCCATGGTGAGATAGCATGATGTAGCATCACTAGCCTTGGCAATGAGACTTTTTGTACACACCTAAATTTCCTAATTATTCTAGCATTATTTACTTTCACTTGTTTGTTCCTTTTTGGATGAATAAACATGTACACTTATGTACAATAAATGATGTAAGCTAATTACAATTTTTTGATTTACCGCATTTTCTTTGCCTTCGAGTTGAGAAGATTTCTAACCACCTCTCTCTGTTCGACATCATCGGAACTTGTCTGCCAGTAGATGTTCATTGAGCTCATCTCAGGACTCCAAACAACCTACAAGATAAGTCCTAGATACAGTTGTCTTCCCTTTATTGCTTCCACACAGATTCATTTTGGGATGCTTAATTAATACTGTGACAGTCATATTTTGTCAATTGATCAATATTTTCTCAATAAAAATACAAATATAGTATCCCTTGTGGAAATTATGCATTGATTTTTAAAAGATAAAAATAAATTAAATGAAACGCAAATTCATACTGTAATATGTCGATAATTCAATATAACATACATCAGAAATGCTGACTCCGAGGGTAGGGATTTCTGGGTCCAGCTCCCCGCTGTCTATAATATCAACCACAGTCCCGTGTACAACCTGACTCACTCGGAAAGAACGATGCTTGCTTCCTTCAGACACATACTTCTTAGCTGTTGTAATGTTACTCTACAAATTATAAAATCTGTTAAATCAGAGGACAAATGATGAAAATATAATATTAATAAATGATCAAAAGTACTATAACATTAACATTCATTTTCCAATGAATTTTTTTCATAGATTATTTGCATTAAAAGAATCTACTATGTATAATGCCCAAATTCTTTGAGGTAATTAAAATGGTACAGTAAAACTCGTTTAGTACAAACACGGATATAGCGAATTCACGGATATAACGAAGTTTTTCTAGGTTTTCTAGGTCCCCGACAAAATTCTTAACAAATGTTTGTAAATTTTTACGGTTATAACTCTGATATAACAAATTTACGGATATAGCGAACTGATTTTGAGTCCCGTTGAGGTTAAATATAATGAAATTTACACCTTTTATAACGTCAACTTTCAAAGATCTCAATATTTGATAAATTGAACTGACTTTATTTTCTTTCAGCATTTGTATATAAAATTCAATTCATAATAAAACCTTAGTTATCGAAGATATGTTTTATAATATTTGCTTCCCTAACATATTTGATATAGTAACACTTGAAGGAAAACATGCATATTGCGAATTCGCTACATATGGTTATACGAATTCGTTATACGGATATAACGAATTACGAATATAGCGAATTAAATTCACAAGTCCCCAGGACTTCGCTATAACCGAGTTTTACTGTATATGAAAACATAGACTAGAGACTTAAATTCTTGTTTTGCTTACCCCTGTGAGTTTAAATGGCTTCTTTCGTCTAATGAAAATTAAGAAAAATAGAAAAGTTTACAATTAACTTAATAAAAATATATGCAAATTTAAATAAATCTGCTTTGATTACTTTTAAACATTTTTTTCAACTTTTTAAAAAAGATTGTTTCATGATTTACCAGATGAATTCATATGATATAGGAAGTGCAAGATGTGCATAGAATTTTGCTTGGTTACCTTTTCTTGCTCCCGTCTAAGAGTTTTTGTAGATACTTGGATGTAGAGCCATGTCGTTTTATCACTTGAGGCGGATAAAATATCAGTTGTCCTAACCTTCTTCCCCACATGTTATCAAAAAACAAAACAGTCGGGCTTGATATACACATTTTCTATTTTCGATTTCATACTTCCGGTTTTGGACTGAATTTCCTCAAGTGCAATATGTCAAGTAGAGCGTTGAGAAAACTACATGGAAATCAGGACTTAGAAGTGCTAGAAAATGGTAAAAATACCGATGACGAGGAAGAAGATGTTGACAATGAGAAAAGAAGTTCTAACAAGAAGAATCGGAAGCCACAGAACCCGTTTCTCTTGGTACGAACATATTTTGTGTGTGTATGTAGACAGGGCCTACATACGTTCCAGATCTGGCTTGAGTGTTTACTCCTATCAGTGTCATGTCTCCAATCATTACATTTGTGTAATTTCATAAAACACATTTTTCGATATTTTTCTTATGCAAATTATAAACCAAACGTTTCAAACGTTTTTTTGATATTAACTATTAAAAAAAAATCAAAACAAATTGCCATTTGTGAAAACTTCTGTAAATGCATTTTTTGAATGCAATTCTTCAAAAATATGCTTGTCCAATATCACCATGATTACAGAAATAAAATTTAAAAATATTTGGAGTGTGAAAAGAGCATTTGTTAGTGCACTAACTTTTTAATGCTCTGATTTAAGTTTTTTCCTGTGAACAGCAGTGTGAGGGTATGTCCTGAGACACAGTTGGGCGATCCTAGCTGCAATAATGTAGCCCTCTCCAATTTTTTTTATCTGAAATTTTCTAGAGAGGGCTACAATTCCACAGCATCTCTGTAATGGTGCAAAAATATTTTTTAAATACGGGCCACCGCAGGCAGAATTGTTTTTACATTCAACTTACTTCTCATATGACGAAATTTTTATTCACTGTTGACAACATAGCCCATTAAATGCGAAAACCATGTAAAAATAAATCTGTTTATTATATGATTGAATAATTTCCTTCTTTCTGATTGGCTGAGATTCAACTATGTTAGAAAAATACTATGTTGTATTGACCTGCACGTGACGTTCCAGGTCAATACAAGGAATTATTGCAGGTCAATATAAGAAATTATTGACCTGTTCCATTTTTTCTGTTTCAATGTGTTCTTGATGAAATTTCTTGTTAAAACTTTCAATTAAAGCAAAGAAACAGTCTTGGAGGAGTTTGCTATCATTTAATCATATAATAAAACAGTTATTGCTGTTTTTTGCGGACTCAGTGAATATTGTACTCCTCAGGTGTCTAAATCATCGTATTGACCTAAAAAACAGCAATAATTATATAGTATTTACTTGTGGTTTCTACTCAGCAGCCATGACAGTTCATGCATGAAGTACTGAGACTTGCACTTGAAATTCAGAATACTCAGTAAAGCAAATGTTGTTGTTTATAAATAATTGTGATGAATAGTAACACTAAATCTTGATAAATAAAATCATTCCATGTGTCATTTTTTCGTAAACAGTGCTATTTAGGCTTAAAATAAGGTAATTCCAAAGAAATCCACTCCCTATAGATCCTTAATCTCATTGGCTGTCCCAAAATAAAATCTGTCAAGGTCAGTAAACATGGCAGATTAATTTAAGTTGTGATGTTGACATACATGAAAAATACGGATATGTGGATTGTTCTGTATATTTTTGGATCGATTTATGTCTGGGATAACTACAATTTGGAAGTCCAGGTAAAACATATAAATTAAATAGCCGTTTACTGACAATTTGAGCCGAAATCCATGCGGGAGTGAATTGCTCCCACTTTGCACCATAACAGAGATCCTAAGGAGTTGTAGCCCTCTCCCCCCCAAAAAATAAAGGGAGAGGGCTACATTATTGCAGCTAGGTCTATCCTGATATCATATATTCGTAATCTTTAACAATACTGTTACAGTACATCACGTTTTATTCACGAGAACTTGATTTTTGCATACATGTAATTATGCAATCGACAATGAGCTCCCAAAAAATCCATTCTAGCGTTTAAAAGTATTCCTTACGATTATAAAGAGGAAAAACAACAATTCGTGAAAATTATGTCTCGCTTATAAAGAGTCAATGACTATCTCGCGAAAATAAGGTGTCGCAAAAATTTAGTGATGTAAAGTACACAGATTGAAAAAATAATTCTGAGAGTAAAGGTTGTTAAATAAGTTTTAAAAGACCTCAAATATATTTACTTTTGCTATGTTGTGTTTTATACATGAGATCTTGATGTATTAAAGTAGACACTGTAACACAAGTGAAAGTGAGTCAAGCCTAGAGAAGTTAGTGTACCAACTGTTAGTCATGTACATTACTCTTCTTTTTTTATTCTCCAGTTAGGAGAAGAGGAGGATGAAGATGATAATGAAGAAAATGTGGAGGAAAATACTCTTCAGGTGGAGGTGATTAAACCCGAAACAAGTGTAAACAAAAAGAAGAAGAAGAAAAAGAAAAAGAAGAAGAAATCAGCTGAAAAAGATGTTGACAATGAGGTGAAATAATAGCTCCACAAGCTTATAAAATATTCGTGACAATTATTGCAGTGTTATTTTAAATAACATTCACTTTCTGGTTTACCTTATGTTAGAGGTTAATCATGTTTATTTAAATCTTACCAGGTAATGTTATATTATTTACTTATAGATGTACTATATTCAAAGCATATTATACATTTATTGCATGATAGTGAGGGAATTCTCCGTGGGCTTTGCCCGAGGGGAATATGATATTTCTTGGCTGAATAAGTCTTCATGTTTCCCGAACATTCATGCAATGAATTGTTTATTATACCGAAACAAGCAAAACCTTTGAAATAAACATAAACTTTCAAATTCAGCACCGCTCTCTAATTCACTTTCATTTTTAACAAAACGTTACTAAAACTCTTTGGTCAACACATTATCATCAATTTTATGACGTAAACCAGGTTATTGTGACGTCTACTATACTCTCGGGAGTTTTCTTTAAAACGAACGATAATTTTTGTGGGAAAATGCACTAAGTATCCGAAGAGGTGGAATATGATGAAAAGCATGCCGACGGCCGGGAAATATGAAGTTTTACGGCACGATCATGTGATAACTTAGAACCAATCAGATAACGCGTTATTTAGAATATTTATAATGAGGACGTGTAATAATAAGTTTTGCTTAATTACAACTACCCAGGGTATGTTGTTTTCCAGTGCACTTCTCTCATAAATGACATTCTTATATTACATGTTATACATGTATGACTTTTCAAAGAGGAAAGATTTTTGGGGGAAATCCTGGTGATAATGTCAGATTTTTTGTAAATAGGATGACGAAATTGAAGCCAGTATTAAAGAAGTCAATCGCATTCTGGAAAACTCTGGACATGGAGCAGAATGTATTACAAAAGCAGACACAGTCAGTGACTCCAACAAGGCTATTCTCACAGTAGAACACAAGTCAGTGTTTATATCATAATCAGAGTTTTATTTCACACAATTCAGATTATATGAAACGTTATAATAAATGTCAAGATAAACTAATCTTTTATACTGAGGAGATATGAATATCAATTTTCTTTCTTGGTTGCAGAAATTTGAATCCAGATAATGAACTCAAGAGGATATTTGGATCTCGCGTCATCCAAGCTGAATCATCGTAAGGTTACTAATGCAGAATGTCCAAAGCTTTTAATATTTACCAATTCAAACAAGAACATACATGTACACTGAAACTGGCCTTTAATTAGCCCAAGAAATGTCTTACAAGCTTTTCATGTTTTGATAAAGAGAATCTACCATTTAAAACAATAAGTTGAATTTTGATTAATTAATATAATTGTATTCCTTTCTGTAGAAGGAGAAGGCAGAGAAATATGCCACTGCGTCGACGGGCGAGTTGGTTAGCCACACCTAAAGATACCTGGCCTCACATCGGAAAAACAGGTAATATCAGAATAAATCCAGCATTTTATTCATACTTGTTTAAAAAATTATGTGATGATAAATTCCACTTGTACATTTATGAACTACAGTGCAGTCATGTACTTGTTTCTTTTTTCACAATGTCCTAGGGTTGACAATGTCAATAAAAGAGACGCAGGGAAATGTGAATTATTTTGTGTATGAACACAACCACCAGTATCAACAGGTGCAATTCAAGTTCTATGACGCTGTGGAATCTCTGAATCCCCAGAATATTATGGTAATTACTGATCATGGAACATTCAAAGTATTTTTACACAAAGTTTTATTTTAAAGTATGACCTTTATGTTAAATTATGTGTGAGTTTGCCTGTATGGCTTTTATTTTTAGGTCACCTGAGTAAACTCAGGTGACCTATTGCTATCTGTTTTCATCCGTCGTCGTGCTTCGTGCGTTAACATTTGAACATTTTCAGCTTCTTCTCTGAAACCACTGAACCAATTTCAACCAAATTTGGCATATAGCATCTATAGGTGAAGGGGAACAAAAATTTAAAAATTTCATCGTCCCTGCCCCCCTGGGGCCTGGGGGTGGGGCAAAAACCACTAAAATTAGTGCAATCTTTAAAAATCTTCTTCTTTACTCCTGGACATCAAGCAGTCAAACTGTTGGTATGATTGTAATCAGCATTAAGTCTTCTACCAAAATTGTGAAATTCATGGCCCCAGGGTCAGGGGTTCTAGTGCTAGGGCGGAGCTAAAAAGGTTATTTAGTGAAAATGCATTATTTCTTTGAAATTCTTCTTTTCTGCTCCTGGGCATTAAATAAACTAACCAAGTGCATAGTTGAGTTGAAAATGACTGCCTCTTCCAAAATTTTGAATTTAATGACCCCAGAGTCAGGGGTTCTAGTGCTAGGGTGGGGCCATATAGATTATTATAGTAAAATTGGAATAATTCTTTGATATTCTTCTTTTCTGTTTGCAGGCATTAAATAAACTAACCAAGTGCATAGTTATGTTGAATAAGGCTGCCTCTTCTAAAATTGTGAATCTAATGGCCCCATGGTCAGGGGTTCTATTGGTAGGTGGGGCTATATAGATTATATAGTGAAAATGCATTATTTCTTTGATATTCTTCTTTTATGCTCCTGGGCATTAAATAAACTAACCAAGTGCTTAGTTATGGTGAATAAAGCTGCCTCTTTTGAAATTGTGAATTTTATGGCCCCAGGGTCAGGGGTTCCTGTGTTAGGGCGGGGCTCTATTGGTTATATAGTGAAAATGCATTATTTCTTTGAAAATCTTCTTCTCTGCTCCTGGGTATTAAATAAACAAACTAAATACATAGTTATGATGAGTAAGAGTGACTCTTCCGCAATTGTGAATTTTATGGCCCCAGGGTCAGGGGTTCTGGTGTTAGGTTAGGGCTCTATTGTTTATATAGTGAAAATGCATAAACTCTTTAAAAATCTTATTTTCTGCACCTGGGTATTAAACCAATGAACTATGTACATAGTTATGACGAGGAAGGATGCCTCTTTGAGATTTGTGAATTTCAGGGCCCCTGGGTCAGGGCTTCTTTTGTTAGGACGGGGCTCTAATGTTTATATAGTGAAAATGCATAAATTCTTTGAGAATCTTTTCCTTTGATCCTGGGTATTATGGCAATGATCTTAGTATATATTTATAACGAAGAACGCTGCTTCTTCCAGAAATGCTTAATTTCCTGGCCCCTGGGACAGAGGTACATGTACTTGGGTGGTGGTGGTGGGGGGTCTGAAAATGATTTAATGCTTTGAAATCAGCACTTTGGTATTAATCAACAACATGATGAAATAAAATTTATAAAATTTCCAAAATTTTGAAAGATGTGGCCCCAGGGTCAGTGGTTCCTGTGGGATGGGGTGCACAACTGATAATGATAAAGTGGAAATGCATTTTCTCTTTGTTACTGTGATCTACACGTACCTCTGGGTATTACTAACCAAAGTAAGTATGCTGAGTGCATAATTATGATAAGCAATGGTGCCTCTTTCAAAATTGTGAATTTCATGGCTTCTAGATTAAAACATGAATCAAATTCAATTGTTGGAAAGTTGTTGCATGATACTCAGGTGACCTATAAGGCCCATGGGCCTCTTGTTATGATAGGACATTGTCAGATCACATCCATATCACGTGGATTCCCTGATCCAGATGAGTGAAGTGTTCCGTATGAACGAGGACATGCAGACAGCTGCTGATTTAATAGGCGAGTTTACCTGTGCTATAATCTTATAAATATTGTGCAAATGTTACCTAAACATTTAACTCATTTTGATTGATAATACAAGTATTTGGGTAAAAAAAGCTCATTATACAATAACAATAGCTTTAAGCTGTTATAATGTATTCAAACTCTATCAATATTCAAACCTATTGACTACGTTGTCTCCAATATTAAAAGGAATAGAATAGAATTCCACAGTTGATATGCCATTAGGCAATGAAAAATCAGTTGACTAATTTACTGGTTATGGTGAGGGATGCAGATGCTTGAATTTCCTCTGTTTTGTCACAGCATAGAAAAAGAAAATAATGAACAGTGTATCTTTCATACTTAAAAAATTAACATGATTTTTTAAAGATATGCTTCACTTGTTCCAAAATCAGTAAAACACATTGTTAGGGAAGTGCTATTAGGACAAATAATTTTGATTCATTATATCATTATATCTGTCAGATTAGTTTATGATACATGTACTCTTTAAAATGACAAGTAATGAAAATTACTTCATGTAAATGTGAATTAAACGTAAGCATGTTTGCTGTACCTGTGTTTTACTGAAGCAATGTGAAGACCTCTATTTTATACTTATGAAGATGTTAATATATGCTATGATCAATACAAGTTAAATGTTATAATGTACTTTTAGGGAAAGGGGACATTACTTTTTCACACTGTATCTTTTTGTTCTTTACTTCTGGAAGAAAAGTTTCTTTGTAAAAATGTACCTGCACTTTTCTAATAAATTGTTTTTTACTTTATAGAGAGAGCTTTGTTTTCCTTTGAGATGTCTTTCCATTCCCTGTTCAGTTTAACAACAGGAAACAGTCGACTTGACTTCAAGCAGGCAGAAAACAGGTAATATTTACATTCAGTATCTTCATCTGACATCTGAAACCAAAAAAGCAGACACAATATCATATTTTGAATCCATATTAGGAGCCCTTTTGTTTTACTTGAATATTTACAGTATCATCAGTATTAAATGTTGACCGGTGTGATGCATTGTTGTTATTTTCATTTTGCAGACCATTTTACCTGGCTCTTTTTAAGCACCTTGTAAACGTGGGACAGAGAGGTTGTTATAGGACAGCCCTGGAATTCTGTAAATTACTTCTGAGGTATGGCATAAAGAAATTCTTAATGCTACATATTTTTTTTATTGTTCTGAGTTTTTACCCACCTTGACGTACCACATTTATACTTTATTTCAGTCTTGACCCTGACAATGACCCTATGTGTGTTTTGCTGATGATTGACTTTTATGCACTGAGGGCTGCCGAGTATTCCTTTCTAATCCGACTCTACCAAGAATGGGAGGTATAGACATAAGACTCGAACATGACTGTACATTATAATCTGATACTTCCTCTGAATAATAAACATGTACAGTATATGTATTATGTCAAGGAACATAAATTTTGCAATTATTTTTTCCAGGATCATAGAAATTTGTCTCAGCTACCAAACTTTGCCTTTTCTGTGCCACTTGCTATGTTTCTTCAGGAAGAATCTCAGAATTCAACAGATACATCAGAGGCAGATGAAAAGGTAAGGTACTTAAAAACAACAATAGAACAGGTAAAAGAAATTACTGGCATTTTTTGTTGTTGACATTTTGTCACCTTTATTTTAAAGCTACAAGAGGCTCTGATAATGTTCCCTGGTTTGTTGATGCCCTTACTGGACAAGTGCAGTGTTAACCCGGACAGTGCTGTCTGTAGTCACGCTTTCTTTGGAGACAAAACTCAGTACAGGTATCATTTATCATGAATATGTAGAAGGGATTTGGAAATTTAGGCTTAAGTATAAATTTTCAGTTAATTCTGAAATATATCATGCACATGTTCTATTGCTGTGTACAGTTAAGAGAATGAAATTTAGCAAATTTCATTTTTAAATTAAGCAAGGTACTGTAGAGAATGGTATGCACACTTATACAAATGAATTTACCTTACATTAAAGAGTAAGATTATACGTCTTACAATCAGACTGCTGCTCTAAAGCAGTTAATAGGTTTATACATCTTTCTTACAGTCAGAATGCTTTTCTAAAGCAGTTAATTAGTTTATACATTGTTCTTATAGTCAGACTGCAGCTCTGAACCAGTTAATTGGTTTATACATTGGTTAAATTTGATTTTACAGTCAGACTGCAGCCCTGAAGCAGATAATCATCAATTTATACATTGTTTTACAGTCAGACTGCAGCCCTGAAGCAGATAATCAATTTATACATTGTTTTACAGTCAGACTGCAGCCCTGAAGCAGCTGGTGGGTTTATACATCGGTCGCTGTCACGCCTGTTAATCGTTGTATACATTGTTTTACAGTCAGACTGCGGCCCTGAAGCAGCTGGTGGGTTTATACATCGGTCGCTGTCATGCCTGTTAATCGTTGTATACATTGTTTTACAGTCAGACTGCGGCCCTGAAGCAGCTGATGGGTTTATACATCGGTCGCTGTCATGCCTGTTGGAAGCAGCCTGAGGTTGTACAGTGGCTGGAGAGGAATGTTAAGGAGGTTCTCAGGAGAGTGGAGGGAGAGGATCCGCTGGTGGTGGAATGTAGCAAAAAGTAGGTGTCTTTAAATTTACTGTAAACATGTAATATTTAGCAGTGTATTCCATTTTGTGATTGTAGTGGAAAGCAGAATCCGCTAAATCAAGTGCATCACTAAATACTGTATAAGTGGAAATTTTAGCGAGACGCAAAGAAGAAGGTATGGTTTTAGCTTTATTGTGCTCTTAAAATCAGATGTTTTCAAAAAGTTTTTAAACTGGTCTAAATATTAGTTTGGTTTATGACTGTGAAAGATCAGGAAAGAATATGGCATGAAGGAGTACCATTCTGGAAATATGACGTCATTAATTTGGTGCATTTTTCTATTTCAAACAGAAAAATCTTCAAATTGACCCATTTCAAGGGTAATTTTCCTTTAGAAAATTGTGTCCACAGCCGTCGCCCACTTTAATTTTTGGATATGTTGTGTAAAATACAATGGAAAATCACATATCTAAATATCTTTGTGGGCGATGCCTGTTGACAATGTTTTCTGAAAGAAAATTCCATTGAAAATTGGTTTCTTCTGCAACATTTTAAGAAAATACGGGAAAATACACATGTTTATGACGTCACAATTAGCATTTAGAAATGCATGTGAGAAAAATGATTTGTATAATTTTTATGCATGGAACTTCAATAATTCAAAATACATGAGTTTTTATTTTTTACATCAGTTTCATTTTTAAGAAAATCACAGGGCAAGATTGATATTGAAACCATACCTTCTTCTTCAGCGATTTGTCCTTAAATACTGGTAATTTATTTTTAGCAAGATGTTATTTTAGCAATTTTAAAATGCATATTAATGAAGCTATTACAAATAAAATGCAATTAATTTTTTGTGATATTCAATTTTAGCGATCTTGGCACCCTCACTAATAATGCCTAAATTGAATCCTCGCTAAAAATTCTACTTCTTCGGTATCTTGAATATCATATCTTATTTCTACATGTAGCACAGTCAGATTTACATTAACTCGTTGTAAAAAAATAAACTTGTGTGAAATATTTTAAATGCCAAATATAATACATTTACAGTAATACATCAACTATTAGTCTTGTGATATTATATATAAATGCGCCTGTTTTGGAAGGTAACAGTTGAAATTGATACCCTTAAGAAAACCTTTGTCAGCTGAAGATTCAGAGCAGTTTAATTTTTTCATAAGGATATTTGAGTTATATCTCAGGGATTTGTGATGTATTCATAATACCCATAATGCTGCTAACTTTGTCCATTCTTCACTTTATTTAACTGATACAACATGCAGTGTAATATCATGTCATATTTGCAGAAGACAAGTTAGATACCAGGGGACTCCAAGGAACATTCTAAGGCACATCCTCATCTCTGAAATCAAGGATGCAATTACTGCTCTCCCTCAGGTAGGAAAACATCAACAATTACATGTACTTACAATAAGTTATCCCTTCTGGAGGACTAATCCCCGCTGGTCAATGACAGTCCATCTAGGAGAGGACTTATATAGGTAATGCATGATGTCCAATCCAATTATGTTAAGGTACTTTACATGATAAAACACTGATTAAAATTAAAAATTACAACCAAGCCTTATGCCTTAGTCACATTTCCCAATCGTTAACCGTAGACCGGTGGTAATCCGTGGTGTGAGCGATGCCCCAACATCGGTCCAAATCGGCCTAGTAGTCCTTAAAGTATCAGACACATTATCCAGCAATGGGGTGACTGATACTTTACTTATGAAGGAGAGCTTTCACTAGAGGAAGGCTATTCCAGACGTTGAATTATAGCCTAAGCCCTTCTGTAAGGCCCTTCTCATTAATAATCCTTCGTTTTAGAGATTCTTAGTAATCATTTACAACTTTCCCTCCAGCAATTCTACTTTAGTTGATAAGTTAAAGCCCCCCACCTCCCATCCCAACCCCAAATTCTTACATCAATCAGCCCTCACTCCAGTACATCAATTTTTACACCATTATTAAAAAGGCTTTTTTGAACTTTCCTGTACTGTATATCAATCACTTGTAGGATGTGGCCAACACCACTGTACTGAGTTATGATCCCCTCCCTCCTCTGGACTCTGTGTCAGCGTACCAGCGACCAGACAGGTAAATCTAAATGATTCATCTACCAGTATTAAGGTATCATTGTTTAGAGCTTAATAGTGAGTTCTGGTTTGCAAATCTATTGAGAAATCTTTAGGTCCTGTTGAAATCACTGGATAAACTTAGTTTTTATACCCAGCACCCCTTTGATAGGTATACTTAAGTAAAGTTACTTTACAGAGAATAAAATCTACAGTACACTAATTTCTACATGATATATTTTTAGGCAAAGGAGGCCACAAGAAGGAAACACTTTGGCTTTGTTTTTGAGATCCCTTTTGCCAAACTTTAATCCAAATGTAAGTATTAAATTAACTCCAAGAGAGCTATAACTATTTACTTTTTATCTCTCAAAGTTAAAACTTCTATTCATATATGACCATCTATTACAAGGAAAAAGACATTGTAAAGAAAATGTTCAATAGAAAAGTAAATAAAATAGGGTCAACTTTCAATTTGACATTGTAGGAACCACCCCCAGAGAATGAGGGGGCAGAGGGAGGAGGGGAGGGGACCAACCTCAGACAGGGAGTCAATGTGCTAATGGAAGCTATGAGGGACCTACTGGCCAACATACGACCAGTGAATCCCCCCGTGGAGAACCAGGGGGAGGGAGAGGAGGAAGAGAGGGAGGAGGGAGAATGGGACTGACCTTAGGTGGAGGATCTAGTGGGGGTGGGAGGATAATGACGTCAAAGACAACTGGTCGATCATAAATAACAGTGTACACTACAGTGTGTAAAACTGGTCGATCATAAATAACATAGTGTACACAACAGTGTACACATGACAGTGTTAACACAACAGTGCTTTCAATAGAATTTTATAAAGTGATTGAATGTTTGGTCTATTTATGTGGATGATAGAATGAATTTTTATGATTTCTTTCATTATAATTTGAAGAATTGTTATTCAATTCAGCAAACAGAGTAAAATTTAACTTAATGGTAAGGAGGCTATCACTTGTAATTTGACATTTAAAAGGATCATGCTATACATATATTTTACTTATTTTTTCAAAAGTCTTTAATTTAATTTCTTACATGTGGATGAAAAAATGTTTTGTTCAGCATAAAAATTATTTTAATGCAATGAATTTGTTAATCAGAGGTGATTCAACCTTAGGGACATGCATGTACATGTTCATAGAATGGTGACTTGTACTATAAATGTCCCTTATATAATTGATGAAAATAAAAGCAAACAATATTTATATTTTCCAGTGTTTTCAATTTCTTTTGTCAATGAATATTAAGAATTTAAAACAAGCAGTTTACAGAAAATGAAAACTTTCATCAAAGATCAATTTCTGAAGCTTATAATAACGTGTACATATGGTGACTAAAAACATAACTTTTGTCCCCTGCTTTCACTTACAGTAGGAGAAAGTAATTTTGGGTATTCCTACTTGTCCAATGTCCATCAGTCTATCTGCCCTCTGTGTGTAACTATTTGATTTCCAGAGATATCACAAGAAACCCTAAAGCTTTTTTTGCTATGAAGTCTTAAAAAAACATACCTCTGTGGCCTATAAAAGACCCCAATAGATTTTAAGGTCCAAAGGTCAAGGTTATGAATTCTTTCTTTATGCGTGTAATTGGGCAATTCTTTGAAAGCTTCTTTTTAAGGATATCCGATCCTCAGTCAGGAAGGATAACTCTTAAAATAATTAATATAAATTCTCAAAAATAATCTTGAATTGAAAACTATTATAGTAAAAAGTACCTGTGGTTTGTGTGTAAAATTTTGTTTACATTAAATATGCATATGGCAGAAACAGGAGGTTTTTTGACCAAGTTCTTAGGTAGAATGCGTTTTGTCCACCCTCTGTGTGTAAAACTCAGTCAATTAATGTTTTGTTATACTGTAATTTTATTACTTATTTTTTTTACGCAAATGTATCGTTTGCTTATTTCCATAACGTAAATTCACTTTATTAGTAGTGAGGTTAAACTCGGTTAATTAAGTCAAGTGCTGTCGAATACCAAAGTTTAGGTTAATTCCGCCCATGTGTGATAAAAGCGGTCGCATATCTCACCAACAGGTCCAATATCTCACGCCGCGGTCAAACATCGATTTTGTTAGAATAGATTTAAAAAGGAACATTTTTAACGGTATACTATACTGTAATTATAATATGTAGGATCTGAAAAAAATGCATATTGCCCTCAAAGCAAGTCAGTATTTTGACCAAAATACAACTTCATGTATTGTGATTGCTGTTCCACAGTAAATGATAAATTATCATCAATTTAAACTTTATTATTATTTCTTTTAAATTCTATTCTTATTTATTTTAAAGACGTATTATAATTACACAGTTGATTTTTTATTCTTTTGAATTGGCGGAAAAGAATGCTTTTGCAGTCTATAATTAGTTTTGTAAACTTGAGAGGTTTTCTTGATTATCAATATACGGGGTGGACGTACAACCGTTGGGGGGAAATCGATACAATTTGAACAACGGCACTTCTCACGAGACAGTTCCTCCTTGCTCGCCCGACCCTTGCCGTCTTTGCTCATGTATGAATTCCCTTCATTGTTCGGTGCCACTGTCTTTGAGTTGACTGTAGAATTTTCTTTTGCGATTGTAGGTAAGTTATATCTTATCTTTGAGATGTTTCTTGGAATTCGCCTCAATGTACCGCCTCCGAGCTCTGAGGTGTATTTCTGTACTATGTAAGGTCGTTTCACTTGGTTACTCTGAAATCTAGAGCGCTTGGAATCAATTCTTCGGATTTCTATTGGATCTAATGTTATCCTTCCTAAATCTTGCAGCCCTCTGTGATATTTCTGAGTTTGACAAAGAATCAGCTCCGCCCTCAGGAGCGCCATGTTATTTCTGATAACCGATTCCTGTTGCTGTACTCGTTTGTACTCGGCCAAAAGGCTGAAGTATTTCTCCTCCATTTTTCTCTGTACAATACCTTCGCACTGTGGATTTTTCTTTCCATTTGGGGCAGGAGTCTTACTAATATGAATTTTCTGATCAATTACAGTTGTCGATTCCCCTTGGTTACCATAACAAAGAGGATCGCTCTTTGAGGCCCGCATAGTTACAGCAAACTCTTCTAAAACAATAATAGTAAAAATGCGGTATGTAAATCACAAAACATTCAGTCAATGGCTATCATTATTTATAACACAGCTTTCTCGTAGAATAAAGAATATATACTAAGTAAATACCATATAAGTCATAAAAAGTTTCTTAATCAATCTCAACACATCTGAAATACAAAACAATTACCTTTTTATATTAAACTACAAAGTAAATGCATATCAATCTTGACAAGCTTATATTATGACGTCATTTTATTATTATATTATGGCGTCATTTTATTATGACGAAATAGCTTCTCTTTGAATATGTTATGACGTCATTTTATTATGACGAAATAACATCTCTAAAGGGACGTAATTCTTATCCGATTGAAATCATGTTATACAATGAGCAATGAGGTGGAAGCATGATATGTTAAAACATACGGAGGTTTAAACTCTATGAGAAAATCATCTTTTTAAGAGTAACGTAATCTGGTTTAATTTAAATATTGGAGATTATCTGATCGACATTCTCTTCATATTGATAAGAATCAATAGAAAATGTTTTGAATTTTATATTTCTTTTGCAATTTTTGACAATCTGAACATTAAACATAATGGTTATTTATATACTGAATAGAATTTTCATGCAATATTTGACTTCGGTATTATAATTCACCTCATAAAAAAAAATATCATCCGGACAAAAATGCAAAATACACTTTTTTTGCGGTGTTCAAAAATATAAACTTAAATCATGGCAAAGTGTTTTATCTAAAATCATGCAGTTATAATGATACTTTATTCACAGTAATTTATCCAGAAAATCGATTTATCCCAAAGAATGCTGTTCATCCTTCAAATTTCGCAGGATTTCTAAAAAAAAAAAAATTGCGTTATTATCATTGTTTGATAAAATCTGTTGATGTTATAAAATTATTTGACTAAACTTTACAATGATATACACGTAGTATGATTACTACACTGTACGAGATTCTGTCAGAACATGATCATTACCCAGTGTGATAAACAGTCAAACCTCGTTATGTTAAAATTGATGGGTTAAGTACTTCAAGATAGCGGAGAATTCGGTATATATTTAGGCTAAAACAAATTATAAACAAACGGTTGAGACTTCCAGATCTCTTTGGCATACCGGTATCTATGGTATTCAAGAAATCATTGTTCGAGATACCAAAGTTCGACTGTATATATATTGAAGGTAAAAAATCGTTAATATTTATATTCTCCTCAGGGACGTAGCAACCGGGGGGCCAGGGGGGGGGGGGCCCCCCCCCCCACTTTTTTCCCCAACATTACCTTTACTATAGTAAATGTTCATTGAAAGGATGGTTGCCCCCCCCCCCCCCCCCCACTTTATACCATAGTATAGTGATATCAAGGATTGTAGGGAAAAAAATTGTTGGATCCGAAAAAGTTGGCCACCCCCCCCCCCCCCCCCCCCCCCCCCCACGAAATAGGATTTTCGAGTTTGGGCAACTTTTAATTTATTTATTTATTTTTTTTTTGCTTGTCAACTTTTTCAGGTAAGAAAAAAATTTCTCTGGTTGGCCCCCCCACTTTCAAAAACGATGCTACGTGCCTGCTCCTGATTAAAATAGACTTGATTCGATCATATTCAGGCCATGGTTCAAATCACCCATATATATGTATGTATACATTTTTATGATTCAACAGACATATAATCATATATTTTGTCAGGTTTTCATCAATAAGCTGAATCGAACCATTTGAGACTGCAGCAAGACTAAGATTAGTTTTCAATCAGAGCGACATAGAATCAATTTCAAAAAGCATTTTGTAATTTTAAATGAAATATGGGACTTCTGAAAATTTCAATAAAGAGCATTTTAATGAGGTACTTGAATTTGTTTTTCTGAAAACAAAATTAACAAGAGGCCACAATGCTCACCTGAGTCACTATAGCCGACTGTTCTTAATAGTATACTTTTACCATCATACATCTATTCCTGAGTGTGTAAAATTTTGATAGCCTCTTGTGGCATACCCCATTCAAAGTGACCATTATTTGAACAAAAATCACTACCACAGGATACTTCCACATTACTGTGTTTGCAGTTTTTGAAAAGAATAATTTGAAAGATATCCCCATATCTCTATTGTGGTCCAACCCTACCCCTCAGTGTTATATTTTGAACAATTTACAATCTACACTCCCTTAGTTAGCTGTCCTATCAGTTTCAGGCCCAGTGATTCTCTTACTGATTTCCAGCTGTGGCCCAATGCATCCCCTTTAGTCTTTTCTCATCTTCTCTAGGAAGGCACAAGGGATAACAGTTAATCAGAAAAAAAATCTCGGAAGCGATCAGCTCACATGAGTTAAAACGATATAAAGGTATATAACTTTAATGCTAAAAATGATTTATCTTCCAAATTTAAGTTTTTGATCTGCTAACCTATAAATTTATGTGGAGCAGAAACACTTGACTGGAGAAAAATGTTAGTGTTTAAAAGATACGTTATAAAAAAAATGTTTAAAAGATACATTATTAACATTCCTTCCGTATGAATTACTTTTGGGGGGACAAAAATATCAACTTTAATGAAGAAATGAAAAATAATTTTTAGAAATTTATTCAGGGATGACATGAAGCCAGTCATGTGATCAAATCCTATAATATAATGCCCGAATGGCATTATAGTAGATTTGATCATGTACATGTGTACCATTTCATGTCAAAACCCAATGAAACTATAAAAAATTATATTTTCTTTCTTATATTTATATTTTCCTTTTTAGCTCACCTGAGCCAAAGGCTCAAGTGAGCTTTTCTGATCAAAATTTGTAAACTTTTCACATTTTCATCTTCTTCTCAAGAACCACTGGGCCAATTTCAACCAAACTTGCTACAAAGTATCCTTGGGTGAAGGGGATTCAAGTTTGTTCAAATGAAGGGCCACGCCCTTTTCCAAGGGGAGATAATTATGAATAAGAGAAAAATTAATGGCATTTTAAAAAAATCTTCTTCTCAAGAATGACAAAGCCATAATTCATCATATTTATATGGAAGCATGCTCAGGTAGTGTAGATTCAAGTTTGTTCAAATCATGACCCCCTGGGGTAGGGCGGTGCCAAAATGGCCGATCAAAGTTTTACATAGGAGTATATAGGAAAAATCTTTAAAAATCTTTTTCTCAAGAACCACTGGGCCAGGAAAGATGAAACTCATGTGGAATCATCCTCAGGTAGTGTAGATTCAAATTCGTTCAAATCATGTCCCCCGAGGGTAGGGCGGGGCCAAAATGGCCGATCAAAGTTTTACATAGGAGTATATAGGAAAATTCTTTAAAAAATCTTTTTCTCAAGAACCACTGGGCCAGGAAAGATGAAACTCATGTGGAATCATCCTAAGGTAGTGTAGATTCAAGTTTGTTCAAATCATGACCCCCGGAGCTAGGGCGAGGCCAAAATGGCCGATCAAAGTTTTACATAGGAATATATAGGGAAACCTTTTAAAATCCATTTTTCAAGTACTTCAAATTCATGCTTAGTGATATTTATATGGAATCATCCTCAGGGTAGTGTAGATTCTAGTTTGTTCAAATCATAAACCCCTGGGGGGTTAAAATTCAAGCTCCCCCCCCCAAACTCAGTAAACTTTTAGTTCTGATCTGATATGTGCTTTCTCCTAGCAAATTGCTCAGGTGAGCGATGTGGCCCCTGGGCCTCTTGTTTTATTCTTGTTACAAAGAAATATAAGCACTATTTAGCCTATGTAATTTAAAACTGAATTTCAATTTAATTAGTTTTTTATATAAGGAAAGACACTGCAAATGTAAATATATGCATTTTATTAACATTTATTAAGCATATTAAATTAAAATGGCCAATAATGTAAAATTCCAATCCTGAAGGTATTGCTTCCTTCACATATTGACCATTAAGATTCCTCTAATACCACTCTTTTCCTCTTCCTATGATTTTTCACCATTTCTGAAGTGGTCAGTTTCTCTGTTTTCCTTGTTTCCCAACACTGAAAGTCATTTAGTGCTTTCTGTCCCTCTTTGAATAAAATCCTTTCCGATTCATCGAGCTTTTCTATTAATTTGGATGTGTCTTCATTGTATGAATTCTGTGAGCTATCCATTATCTTTCTCAACCGTCCTTGGTAAGTCTACAAAATAAAAACACAATGTACCGTACTCCTGTTTTAAAAATATCTTTACACTCATATTTAACAACAATATCTTTAATCATTTATAAAACTTGTTAATTTAAAACAAAGATGAATCTATTGAAAATGAATTGATTTGACATCCAGAGTTTCTATATCCTTCTGTTCCTACATTCACCTCTGCTGTATGCTTGCGTATCACAGTGATACTGATGATCACAAAAATTAATGCATTTGTTTTAACTAATTACATGTACGATACAGTGTCTTTAACTTTGCTAATCAATCTTTGTATTTTCAAGAAAGATATTTGTGAAAAAGATCTAGAACTATGAGTTTAATTTTAAATGATACTTGGAATATCATCTCTTTTTATGTCAAGCCAAAATCTTGATGTAAACGCATTGCAAATGTTCTGAAAAAGGAGCAAATAAATAAAACTCTTCAAGAGAGATTGAAAACAAATGGATTTACGCTGCATGAACTGCCATGAAGTGCAACAGAAATGAAATTGTCTGATATCTGTTAATTTTTGATTCATATTCCAAAGACATAATTACTTGTAACAATGACTTTGCAACATCGGGTGTTTCAGGAAGTTCAAATTTGAGGAGCTGACTGCCATAGTTATAGAAGTATGGTCCCAGTTTGTGTAGGTCCACCACGGTTGGGTCTGCTGTGAAGATCTCTCGATAGCCTTCCTTGTACTGCTTAGGCAATTCCACACTCACTATGTGTCTCGTACTGCTACAGAGTCCTCGTGCCATCCAGTAGGGCATCTCTAACTTTGTTCCAGGTTGTAAGTGTTCAGACTCTGAGCTTGTGTCAAGATATCCTGCAATTTCATTTTGCCATTGTGAAGAAAAGGTAAATAAA